AACGAAATCCTGATGAGGAAAGGAGGCGCTCAACGAAACGTGGCGGTCGATAAAAAAGTCGAAGTCGAATTCACCTTCCGGGTCGCGTCGCAATCCGATGATTGATGCGGGTGGGCAGGTGGCAGGAGCGAAAAATCGACAAAGTTCGACAGAATGAGAAGGACCGTTTGCGCCCAGAAGCAAGAGCGGTGGAAGGAGCTGAGCTATTTTCTACTACCGGATCGCCCTCGACAGAAGCTTGGTGCTTGCTTGACTGGATGGACCTTGGAAAAGGCTGAAGAGTCAATACCGGTCGAGCTTCAGATGATCGAATCCCTGTTTGGCCACCTTCACAATGGCAAAAGAGAAGTGTTGGAGGAGAGTCGCGCCATCATCAGACGAGAGAGAGACGACACAACTCCGGGCGGATGGGGGTAGGATAAAGGCCAACGACGGCGGCAAGGCCAGGTACGGGAAGGCAACAAGCGAGGCAGTACCTTCGCATGGGATAGGACAGGACAGAACAGGACAGGATAGCATGGGGACGGGGATGGACATGGAGATGGGGATGGGTATGGGGCTGGATAGGGAGACCCGACGGCGACCAAGACTCGTCGTACCCCGTACGAGTGACGACCGTGGTGGTGTGGATCACTTTGCTTGTCGTCCATCCCGCGCTGCACACCCCAAGGCCAGAAAGGAAAAAAAAAGACTGGGAACTGGGAACTGGGAACATGGTGGTGCTGGTGAATGGCAAATGCAATGGGGGAATTGAGAATGACTGGGGACCGGGAAGGAACGAGACGAGAACAGGAGTCAGGCACACTGCAAGCTCGCAGGCACCACCGCAGGCACCACACCGCGGGGCAAAAAGCGCAGAGAACAGCTTGTTCCCAGCAAGGCAGGTCGGAATCGAAACAGTGTGCGTGGTGGGTTCAAGGTCCCACGTTGCCGTTGCGAGATGCGAGAGAGACAGAGTGACAGAGAGAGAGATTGAGTGCGGGCATTCCATCCATCAATCTGGGCCCCAAACCAAACGGGAAATGGGAAAATCCCCTTGTCTCCTACTCACCTACCATTTACCAAGCCGCGCCGTACTCCGCCAAGCGCAGAATGACAAGCAAGCAGCTAACGGCGACCCGCGGACGCTGCGCACTCTCACTCGCACTCTCACACACCCCTCTTTTCTTTCCCAATCTTAGTTCCCCTGCTCCAATCCAGTAATTTGGCCGCGGGTGCTTTCGCTAGCCCCGGGGCGCAGCGTATTGTCTTTCACTGTGCATTTGCGCAGCTTCGCATCTGTCTTGGGAAGCTTAGGGGGGATAGGATGGAGAAAACGGGGAACCGAGAGCACACAGCAGACTCGACTCGCAAAGAAGTTGCGGCCAAGGACAGCAGCCGGGACGCTGGAGCCGTGGGCCAGTAGCAGCTTATCTGATTGACCGAGGGCCTTGACAGGACCCTGAAAGGCTGAAACGATGAATTTCGGGGTTCTGTTGAATCATGCGGTGCGCGTATTGGACCATACGCGGGTGAACCGTGATTCGGGGCCCCCATCCAATTCTCCAGACTGCTTTTTATGGTACTTCATCGAGGCACCCGTACCCGTACCCGTACCGTACACAGAGCAATCTTAGTGCGGACACACACGCTGAAAAAGTTGGCAGAGTCAAGAACACGCGTCAGAAGCGAGAAAGAATGGAGAACGAGTGGGACGGGACCCAGGACCCTTGAAACTCAATTCGGTGCACGGCTCTGGACGTGGCAACTGTGAGCGCCAGCGTCGCCTGTGGTCTAAAGGCAGAGACGCTCAGATGCTGCAACGCAGGCGGTGGGAGAATGTTTCTCGAAAAAGGGCACACGCCGGCCTAGTCTTTCTTCGGCTTGGCCTTGGCTGGCTGGGCTGGGAGGGGTGTGCGCTTCTTCGAGACTTGTCTTGGGTTGGAACTTGGGACCAACGGCCGACGGCTGGGCAGTTGGAACAGTTGGAAGTTTGCCGAAGTTGGAGAAGGCTCGACGGAAATACGCGCCTGATTGGAGAAAAAGGAGGGTGGGCATGAAATTTCGACTCGAGTTTCGCCTGTTTATTCCCTGTTTCCAAGTCGTTTTTCGGCTCTTCTTTTCGTTCTCATTCTCTTTTCCCGAGCCTCGAACAAACTGGCGGGTAGAAAGACGAGCAGGAAAAAGGTTCATTTGGCGAGCCGAGCTACTGGAGCAAATTGGCCCGAGAGAAATGGCGCTTGTCAAGCACAAGAGCGGGGGCCGTTTCCCATCAACGACAATGACGACCAGGGGGGTCGATCCAGGCTCTTGGCCACGGAAATTCTCCTTGGCGGCACCCGCTGCGCCTCAAAGCGAACCCATAGAAACCTTGCAACCGAGTGAGGAGATGCAACATGGATGGTGGCTTCTTCCGTTGGGGTTTTGGTCAAAAGGCCGCCTCCAGGCTCATTGCCCACTGCAATAGCGAACCTGTCAGTCTGCTAGTGAGCGCCAGTGGCACAGATAGTGGCTTTCTTCCCGACGGCTGACGCTTTGGACTGGCTGAAGGAGGCGGGCAGCGTCGTGGATGTTGGAGAATGATTGGCGTCCGCCCCCAAGCCGGTGACGGGCCCAGACGCACCAAACATGCTACCCAGCGGACGTCCCATCTCATCTGATGTTTCTGGCGCGGTGCATCATGGTTTTTTCAAATAGCGCGTTTCTTCCGCAAGTGTCCTGGAACCTGGAGGGCCAGCAGCAGTCCAGCCTGTGGTCAATGTTCTGCAGATGACGTTCGAAGGTCTACAGAAAAGCAGGAGAAGATTTCAGCTCACCTCAGCTGTAAGCCCCAATCGACGGCAGCAGCACAGCAGTAGCGAACGCCACAGAGACGAATCAGAACCCCCGATGATAGTGAACGGCTGATATGCTTGTCAATCTTGAACACCCCACTTAACAGCCACGACTGGCGAAATCCATTGCCATTGTTCACAGTACGTACTGAGGCGTCGCATTCGCAGCGTACGTAATATCCCGTATCCATGTTGGAGTAGCTCCAATCGGTCCAATGACGGCTGTTTGTGTGCGTGGCCGGTGGAAAGTGATAGGCAAGGGGAAACCCCAAGAATAGTGTAGGTGAGCGCCGAAGGTGAATCGAAAAAGTAGTTCGGAGCCACTTGCGAGCACCGTCTGCCCTCTCTGGGCGGAGGGGCGAAAAGGGGGTTGGTGGGAATTGGATTGCGATGCCACGATGCGAAAAGAAAGATGAGGAGAATCTTGGTTGAGATGGGCAGAGGGTGTGATTGCACGCGCATCAATGACCAAATGGCTCATTCCTATTCCTTGGAGCGTGTTGGAGATGGATTCATGGAACGACGAAAAGTGAAGGGCCTGCGCAGGAACACCACCACGCGAAGTCGATCCGAATGGGCGACATGCAGCGTCAGTCGTTCTTCTTGGATGCGCGCATCCAATACGCGTGAAGCTGGGCGAGGAGTCGAGAGGAACGAATACGTCGTTTGTGGAGTCTGCAGAAAGGGGTATGGTGGCTTTCCCTTTCCCTTGGAGACTTTTTGGAGACGGCTTTGGTTCGCCTCTGGGCCTGTGGCATCATTGGTGCCGTCGGTGATGTCGAAGTGAGGGGCAGCTCGTCTCCTCGATGGTCCTGCGCCATTCGGACGGGTGGGGGAGGCAGTCGCAGTCGTACCTCGTACGCTAGGCACTTGGTAGTGCGTCCCTTTCCAAGCTTGTCCCAAGCTTCTTGCAGTCTTGCAGAGGTGAATGGCCCGGTCGCACCTTCCCCCAGGGGGATTTTGCTGGGTCTGGGCCCGTCGTCGACCCGCGTAGGATCCAGGGCGATTGAGATTCGATACCAGAGGCACGCAGATCACCGACCGTTGTGAAGCACGTGTCGGCTTTCGTCCCGACTCAAGACGAGAAGCTCGGATCAGCTCGGAAAATCTCGAACCTGCCTCGGATGAATCCACTACTTCCTCGTTGAGGTGGAGTCGAAGTCACAGCAGATGCCGCCCACGGGTCCTAAGTCCCCGGAAGGTTCCCCCGTCCCCGACGGACCTGCCTCGCCTGTTTCCCGTCACTGTTCTTTCTCTCATCTGGAAGGCACGGGTTGCTCCCCCTTCCAGATCTTCCAGAAACCCACCCGCTAGCGCTTCGTAGACTGCTGACTAAGGTTTCATCCTGTTTCGGTCGCCACTGCTATTCACTTGTGACGGTTTCCATCTCGAAATTCGCCTTTCTTTGGCAAAAAGAAGCGCAAAACCACGACATTGATTCGTTCCAGACCACTTTCTTCTCAGTTCCTGGCTTGCCAAGTAGTGAAAAAATTTCTCCAGCGACCTTCAACAACAGAAAATATCGTGAAACCAAAGCTGACTCAACGTAGAAACATCGGCACTCGTCCGGGTCACGTGGAGACATGTCATCGCAACTGCATTGGACGAAGAGGCGAAGCGTCATCTCTGCCAAGACGAGGCTGCGGATGCACTTTGGGCAGAGTTCAAACCCAACGGAATACCGGCGTGCCCCATGAGCCAACGTGCTGCTGCTATCTTTGCAAATTGCAAACATCGTACAACCCGGTTGCACACACCCACATACACAGACAAAGTCGGACAGTCGGAGCGAGCTTTACGCGGGAACATCAGCAAACTTCGGGGGTGCATTACCACTTTCGGTCGAAATTACGAGACCGTCTGTTTTCCTGTGCTATACTGACTGCTTTTCCTGTGGCTATACTCTGCCTTACCGTCGTCGCTTCTATCGTCGTCGCTTCTGTCATCGTCGCTTCTGTCGTCATCGCTTCTGTCGTCGTCGTCGTCGTCGTCGTCGCTATTGTCGTCTCCGACGGGAGTAATTAAGGACACAGGGATAGCCGCGCAGACACATGAAAATTGTTGAAGGGCGGCCTCGAAATTAGTCCCAGAACATCGGAGCCGGGCTCTTGACAGCGAGCCGCATCGGTCCGACACCATCGCGCACGGGGGAAACGAGAAGCCCGCCAACCATCCGCTGGCGGAACCATGACCGCGTATCAGTACGAACCGCTCTTGTCCCCGGACTCCATCCGGCTGCTGGCCCTCCAACCCTCCGCTTCCCATGATGCCGAACTCAGGGGATCCCTACTTTGCACCACGCTGGGGGAAGCTGACTACGACTTGATCGACCCTTACACAGCCCTGTCTTACGTATGGGGAAGTGACGAAAGGCCATGTTTGATTTTTCTCGCCGGCAAAGACTTTGCCATCACGCAGTCCCTACATGACGCGCTGCGTGACATGCGTGACGCCACGCGGGTCCTCAGGATCTGGGCCGATGCTCTTTGCATCAACCAGGGTGATGTGCCGGAACGCAATGCGCAAGTCAAGCTGATGGGGAAGATCTACGGGGTGGCTTCCAATACTATCATCTACCTTGGACATCTGACTGAAGACGCGGCTGAAGTCCTTGCTGCTACGACATGGAGAGCCGCAGAGTTCGACTATGAAATGCATGATGATAACACAGGAGCTACACATGTCGCAGAAGTCAGCAACAAGCATACCCTCGTCGAGGCCGCCTGTCGTGGTATTCTATCACGACCATGGTTCCAGCGCGTGTGGGTGCTGCAGGAGCTAATTCTTTCCAAAAGTCCCTGGATACAGTGCGGTCATCAACGGGTTCGATGGGAGGACTTGTGCCGCTTTCTGCTCTGCAAGGCGACGAATCCACCCAACAAACATGGGGCATTGCTGAGCGTCCTGGGAAATATGAATGAAACTCGCAATCTTCGAGCCGGAGGCGTCGGAAAACCTCTCTGGGATGTTCTCAAGATACGTCGAGGGTTCGGTGCTGCTGATCCACGGGATCGCGTCTATGCAAATTTTGGAATCATCAATGACTTGCGACGGGTTCGCAGATACCTCGATGTTGACTACAGGGTGTCGTTGCAGGTCGTGCTTTCCAAACTCGCCGAATACATTATCAGCACAAAAGGAGCCACATATTCAATGACACAAGTTCAGGATTTGCGTTTCGAGGACTACGTTGAGGGCTTGCCATCTTGGGTTCCTCAATGGCAGTACTCTTGTTCTGAGATGCCAGACTTTGGTGGTCTCGAGTTGAATTTCTCGGGAAGCTATTCGGTTCTGAACACTGATGGGATGCCATCCATCTTAGCGCACACCGGATGCGACGTTGATATGGTAGCAAGTGTCAGTGCTATCTTACCTATAGACCGCCAAGCTGCCAATGCTCTGGTGGCCACAGAAGAATATCTCCACGGCCGAAAGATGCTTCTAGAGATTTATGACAGCTTGATTGAGACGATGGAACCAGACGAACTCTTTCAAGTGTGTTATGATCATTATTGGAAAGGGTGTGCTCTTCCTATGAAAGGGAAAGAGTCTCAGCATGAAAGGCTGTGTAAGAGTCTTGGTCGCAAATGGGTCCGATTCTTTGAGACCTTGGATAAGCAGTCACACTCAGAATCTTCAGCGGATGACTACTTCAGTGCTCTCTTTTCTCAATGGGTACACTGCGAAGTGAGAAAGCAGCGAGCATTTCTGAACCTCAGATCTGATTTCGATGGGACCAAACAACCCATTTTCTACGGCGTTCCGTCTCTTCTTCAAAGATACCTAGAGTCTGAGACTGCTGACCATCTTCCCGGAAGGCGATTAGCCATCACAGAGAGCAGGAAATGTGCGCTCGTCCCAGAACAAGCTCACGAGGGCGATGCCATTATCATGTTGACGGATCCTACTCGCGAAGGTTGGGGTCTGCGTGCCTGGCCACTTCTCGTCGTTCGACAGAAGGAAGAAGAGGGATCCCAAGAAATCAATGCTAGAATAATGGAGACAATACATAGCCAGAGGCCACAGCCAAACGGACAATCCACGATTCTCGATACACCGAGACGGTGGCCAGCTTTCATGGCACGGGAAGCTGACTGTGTTAAGCACTATGGGGTGATCGGACAATGCTATATTGATAGGCGGGTGGATGGAAGGAACTGGATCAAGAAGGAAGAGATGCATGTGTTTGCGCTGCATTGACATGTACCAGACAAGACAAGAGAAGAGGATCACCTCGCGGGAAGAGACATGTCTATATATCTCAGCACAGAATAGTGCCTATAGCATAGTATATGTCTAGAGACTACCTAAGCTCTCGTATCCGAGCGATTACATTTCCTGCATACCAGGTGACTTTGATGAGGACGACGACGGTAGAGGACAACAACGGCAGACGACGACGGCAGACGATAACAATAGACAACGACAATAGTAGTAATAATAGTAATAATAATAGTAATATGAATAGTAACAACGATAATAGCGACTTCAGTAGGGATAATGATAGCGAGTACGCAAGAGAAGTAATTGCTCTAGCATAGGAAAAATAGGGGTCTGTATTTCTGTACCTATTTAGTGGTATAACGGTCTGTTGTCAGGGCTGTAACATGTGCTCCTCGTCAACGCCGAAGCTATCAACGGCGGAGATCACGGGTGCTGTCCGTGAAAGAGATAAGGACGTCGCGCTTCTAGAATTAGTAAAAAGATACCTACGAGTTCGTTAGTTCCTATTAGAAAAGTTAGAGCTTCTTCTGGGATACGTAGAGCCTGCGGTCACTATAGTTAAAAATAGCAAGTAATATGCTAACTGTGAAGGCTGTACAGCACGCTCCACTAGTATTAACTTTTATAAAGCTATTATAGTAAATATATATAGATGAAATTCCGCTCTGCTAGAGTGATAAAAGACTTCGTTATTTAAGTCTAATCGCCTCACCTAACTACTCACCTTAATATACCTACTTTTGATTTAGTATAATATTTCAGGTAAGTCTAGAGTGAGGAAAGAGAGCAGAGTGAGTAAGAATATATTCCATAAGCAAATAAGTTAATAAGTAAGTCTGCTAGAATTCTCTAATTACTAACTTTCGCTGGATGTCTTTTCGAGAACCCCGGAGGCCACCGCTCGTAGTCCAGGTCCATAAGCGTGATTCCGTCTTCTGGCTGGTAACCCTCCGGCGCCCTTCTCCACTCCTCGGGGATAGAGATGTACGTCTCGACATAGCTTGCGTTACACGACATGCCATTGTAAATAGAATCCGGCTCGCCTTTGTTCGTTCCAATCCCAGGGGGTGGCGAGGGCAACTCTGTGTCAAAAAAGTATGTGTGTTGTGGTAAGTCTTGCACTAACGGGTCGAGCCGTGGCACTCCTCGAGTCATATCAAGCCCTAGTTCCCCCGCCTTACGCTCTAGAGCTTCACGATAATACACATTATGGCTTCGCCTGGCCTCATTCAGCAGACCGAAACTCGGCTCAACGGGCTCGCCACCGTCGTCCCCGGCAATTAGGCTATCGAATAGCGTCTGATTGTTCGAGAAGATGGCGGCACGAGCAACATTGGGCCGCATTGGGGGGATGAGGCGTGCGAGAGCCTCGTATGTCGAGGAAGCAGCCACGGCAGGATACCAGATCAGTCGGGGGCAGGCCCCGTTTGGAGACAGGATGTAAGACAGGTCGTTGTTCATGATTCCTCGCGCCGATATAGCCTTGCGGATGGGCGATTCATCGCCCTCGGGTAGTGGCTGGCTTTTCCACCATTGCGCAAAAAGCGTATTATGATCTGCAGAAAATGTCAGAAGCTGCGAATGGCCGCCTCTTGCAAGGACTAGTCATACATATTCCGCGGACAATACATCCGATCTCGTGGTCAAGGAGCCGAGGCCGTCGCAGTCGATGGTACCTATCGATGTCGCCGTTGTATGCTGCCATGAGAATGAGCAAGTCTTTATGGCAGGTGGTCAGGTCGGCTGGGAGCGGCTGGCAGAGAATCTTCAGCGCCTCTTCATCAGAATTCGGGACTACTGGGGTAATTGAACCCGGAATTCCACCATTCCCGTCGAGATCGATGTTCATATCCTCGGTGATGTTGAAGCGAGTCTGTATGAAGCCGAGTGGAGGGCTGAGGCCCCAGGGATCCAACTCGTCGTCGTCAGGCTCGGAATCCCCTTCTTCGTCATCCAGGCGACCAACTGGAGGTCCAAACGCCTGGGTCTCTAGCAGGTACGGTCGGATTGCGGTATCGCCGTTCAAGAAAGCGGGCTTCGGTGCTGTGGTGTCAATCGTACGGTTGTAATCGTCAAAGACTTTGTACCGACAGGGCGCCTCCATGATCATATTGAAGATGGCATGGCTGCCGTTCTCGCGGGCTTCCTCGGCGATAGAAACCTCGGGCAGGATTTGCACGGAAAGCTCCTTGTAGAGCTCCGTGTGTCCGGCGACAGCACACGCGCGCGCGGCCTGGTAGGCCATGGCGGGAACGCACCGGACGAGCTCTCTGAGGGTATCTTCCGAGGGAAGGTCAGGAAACCATATGCAGTAGGGCATATCTCCGGGCTGATCGGGATTCATGTCTGGGACTCGATTGCTCATGATGGCTCTCGCGTTCAGGGCACGAGTAAAGAGTGGTAGCGATCCACGGAGGACGGCGGCTGGGCCGAAGCAGAAGTCCGCGTGGAACCTAATGCCGTGGACGACGCAGAGACGCGTGAGCTCTCGGCCGAGATCATGAGGGAGTCGTTTTCCCTCGAATGCTGCCACAGCATCCGCGTGGATGTATCTGCGAGACCGCAGGCGCTGCTCTAAGTCGCCTGTATCCGCTTGCTCTGCTGCCCGGACTGGCAGATCAGCCATCGTGGTTTACGTCTGAATTGGGGGGGAAAAAACAAAAGGAAGAAAAAAAAAAACAGCAAAACGATATCGCCTGTGTTGTCAAGTTGTGTTGTAGGAAGTCGAGAGGGGAAAGAGCGTACGATGAAAGAGGTGTGGTGTTGGGGGTGAGGTTTAGAGTGGAACGAGGTACGGGCTTGGACAAGGGCGATTTTATTTTAAGGTAAGCTCTAATTGTGCCCCACCTTCCCTATTGGGACCCCTTCAGGAAGCCAACGTCCAATGGCTGAGACCAAGACACAGAGTAGGTAGTGTTGCCTGTCCGTCCTTACCCCTGAACACGGATCACGGCCAAAGGAAGACATTGAGCCGGCTAGTTCCTCCGCACTTCTGGCCCGAATTACCGCTGCAGGACATGTTGCAGTCTCCCTCCGGGGCGGCTACGGATCCTGCAGCCCTCTGGGCGCCGCAGAAGCATTCGCGAGCGAATTGCACACCGAACCTGGAGAAACCCTTGTCGATGCAGAATTTCGCGCATTTTTCAACCGTCATACCATCGTCGGCCAGAACGGCTATTTGGCGACAACGAAGATGGGGTCAGCACTCAATGATGTTACAAGGTTGGTGTGAACTTGCTCGTTACTTACCTCCGCCCAGGGCTCTTCCGCCCGTCGAGAGCTCCGTGAAGCAGCCTTCGTACCTGAACTTCATCGGCGGCCGCTCTAGCTGCTTGCTGTACAGGTTCAGCCTGTTGGATCCACCGCACGTCTGGCCCGAGTTGCCGGCGCACGGCATATTGCACTCGGCTTCCGGGACCGACACGGCGCCGGTGCCCAGGTTGTTGCCGCACCAGCACTCCCGCCCGAACTCTACGGCAAAGTGGTTTGTGCCCGTCTGCGCGAGGCAGTACTGGGCGCACTGCGCCACCGTCAGAGACGCGCTCTCCAGACGCGCGATGCCCAGCGCCCGCGTGTTGGTCCCCTCCGTGTAGCATCCGTGGTACTTGTACGCCAGTGGGGCCGCGCCGCCCCTGCCGTAGACGTGGAGCCGTTCGGACCCTCCGCAACGCTGCTCGGCGTTCCCGGTGCACGGCATGTTGCAGTCGCCGTCCGCGACTTTGACGCTGCCGACCGTCAGGCTGTCGCCGCACCAGCACTCACCGCCAAACTGGACCCCGAACAGCTGGCGGCCCTTCTCGGCCATGCAGTACACAGCGCAGAACTCGACCGTCATGCCCGTCTGCCCCGTGAGGCCGGCGTAGCTGAGCGCCCGCGTGCTGACTTCGGAGAAACAGCCGTACGGTTGGTGAGTCGGCACCTTGTCGAAGACGCCTATGCAGATGTGCACATCCGCCCAGAGCCCGCTGCAGCCGCTGCCGATGCTCGGGTTCCACTGGTTGAGCTGGCTCAGGCTGACGCCTGTCTTGGCCGTGATGTCGATGCAGATCTCTCCGGGCTTGACGAGGTAGAACTTGTAGCAGTTGTTCACCAGGCCTGGCTGAGTAGGGAGCGGCGTCTTGATGCCGTTCGACGGGGTCGTCGGCGTGCCCTGTTGCCCGATGAGCCCGACGCAGACGTTTACGTCGGCCCAGAGGCCGGAGCATGTGTTGCCGACGCTCGGGTTCCAAGCGTAGAACTGTTCGAGGGAGATGCCGGCGTTGGAGACCACGACTTGGCAGGTATCGCCAGGCTTCACGAAGTAGAACTTGTTGCAGTTGTCAACCATACCCGGCTGTGTTGGCTGGGGTGTCGCAACCCCATTGCCGGGAGATGTTGTGGTAGACGGAGGCGAAGAGGACGTCTCAGAGGGCCGAAGAGACGTACTTGGTTGCTGGGGAGCGGTCGGCGAAACAGGCGGCGGCCCAGCAGACGCACCGATGCAGTACGACATTCCGACCTGGAAGTTTCCGCAGTCGGCAGTGATGGAGGGGTTCTAACAGCGCAGGAGCACTTCAGTTAGTTGACTGCATAGAAGGCATTCCGGGACACCCAACGACTGGACGTTCTTGGGCTCAATCGCTACGTACCCATCTCCGGAAGTCTGAAATGTCAATATTCCAGGCAGTTATCAGGTCGACACAAGGGAGGAATCCTTCATTGTCCCACCAGTCCGTGCAGGTTGAAATGGTGTTTGGATCAAAAGGCAAGTTGGGAACTGCCCTGCGGACAAGTTGGGTAGCACGGCCAGAAACGAGCGTAACGACGAAGTAGCTCAAGGCCAGAAACTGGCCAAGACGATTCATCTTGAAGCGTATAACGAATGTGAGAATTTAAAAGTGTCTGACGCCAGGCGTACGTGCATGAACAGTCGTAGTGAAAGGGGGAGCATTGAGGTTTTCACCAAGATGCTTATAACTTCATGTTCCATAACGCTGGATCGCGAAGCTGTACGAGCATAACATGTCGTCTGCGCCGCCCCCAATTGACCCTTGAGGTCAAAAGTTCCATGTGAAGGTAATCTCTCCATCTCGGAGCAACTTTTTCTCGAGGTGGTGGATGCAATGGTTAGCGGCACAGCAATGCAATTTCATCTGGTCCGATTTGAGCATGAGAAAGAGGCACGAGAGTCACGGGAAGCTCTCGGGCGAGACGTTGTCAGGGTTCCAGGGTGTGTCAATGCGGCCCGCCGGTAACAACGACCCGAAAGGGTTGTTAGTCCAGCAGGTCGTTTGATGAAGAAACGAGGCGAGGGTATCCATGGGCCATGCCAGTTGTATATCCGCCATACTCTGAAAGGCAGGTCCTTGTGTTGGTTCGCGAATACCAAGCAGCGCTCCCCGTAAGGTAAGTAAACTTGCTAAGTTTAATTAATTAATCAATCAATTATGAAGCTATCGCTAGTTAATTAAGTTAAGTTTGAGCCTTAAACTTAATTGATTACTTTGACTCTTTTGATAGGGATTATAATATAGATTAAATGAATATTCTACTACTAAATATCCCTGCCCTTCCTTGCCCTTTTTTATCTGCCCTCTATTTCTAATAGGACCCCCCCTTATTAGGGTATAAATTAGCCCTTTTTGCCTATCTAGCTTCTTTTTTTTTTTCCTCTAAGTTAATAATATAATAGTTCTAGTATAAGATTATTTATAATCTTCTCTAACCTTTATAGTAATAGCTAAACCTATTAAGGAGTTTAAAGGTTAGTTTTTAAGATCTACTAGAGATTTATATTAAAATTATTATTTTACTACTATTATCCTCTATCTCTATTATCTGTTAGCGTCCTTTAAATATGAGGGTATTACTAGGTTTACTTTCTCTTCTACCTTACTTATTTTGTACTAGATATCTACTATATTAGTAGTCCTCTATTTAACCTTAACCCCTCCTCTAAATGCTTTTAGCTAATTCTTAAAGTATAGATCTATCTTATTATAGCTTAAGTAAGGTAAAAACTACTTCCTACCTAATTATCTTTTATTTAAAGACCTCTTTAGGGTTATAATAAATAATAAGGTATATATATAAGAGTTAGAACTTTAGAGAAAGGGTATGAGAGAAAGGATAAGCTAGATAGGAAGTTATAGATGGTATTTTATTCTCTACTAGCTAGATAGCTAACTAAGAGTAAGTTACTAGGTTTGCTGATACTATGATCTTAAGGGTAAGTATCTTATTCTTAATATTAAAGCTACTTCTTCTACTTTAGAGTATCTAAAGAAGAACTATTCTAGAGATATATAAGTAGGGTCTATTAGCTTAGAAGGTTTTAAGTAATTTAATAATGTTTTATATAAGAGATAGTGCTTAGACTTTACTAGTTTGATAAAGGATTATATAAAGAGTATCTAGAAGGCTACTATTTGTTTGATTATTGATGCTAACCTTCCCTTTATTATTTTTGAAAACTTTGTTTTTCAGTATATAATCTCTGGGGCTAGTATAAGGCTGTAAATATTGCTATAGTTTAGTACTTTAATAGTTACTGCTTTTGAAGGTATTTAGAAGTAATAGAAGATGGTTATTTAATAGGAACTTCTATATGCTAACTCTAAGATATATTTAGGCTTTAATCTTTAGACTTCTCTAGGTTATTAAGCTATTATAGAGGTTACTATATATTTTATTATTAAGGGGAAAGGCCTTTAAGTATGTCTAATTGCTATAAAGAAGTAAATTAGGGCTTATAATAGTGTTAACTTTATAAATACTTTTAAGTAGGTTATTAGAGATTAGGGTATTATAAAGTAAGTGAAGACTTTAATCTCTAATAATGCAAGCTTAAATGATATTTGTATAGTAAGTTTGATCTCTTAGTTTAACCTCTCTATTAAGAAGAAGTAAGATATTTAGGCTAGAAGGATTTGTTGCTTTAGATATATCCTTAACCTTATATTGAAGGCTTTCTTGTTTAGTAAGGATTTTAATAGCTTTAAGAGATAGTTAGATATATATATTCTTCTATAGTAAGATAAGGCTAACTTTAAGTATTAGCGTAAAGCTAGCCTTATTAATAAGCTTTATAATATTATGAAGTTTATTAGAGCTTTACTGTAATATATATAGAGGTTTAAATTTCTATTTTATGAGATATTAGAAGTTTCTGACTAGTCTATTAGCTTTCTTCTCTCTTAGTAGATATCTAAAGAACTTAAATTAATCTAAGATAATATTATGAGGTGGAACTCTATATACCTTATAATTAAGTGTGTTATTTAGCTTAAGGATGAAGTAGAGGGTTTTTGTTTTTCTTAGAATACTAAGGATTTTATATTAGCTTAAGATATCTTAACTTTTGATAACTAGCTATAGTTAGTAGAGATTATAATGATCTTAAAGCTTATCTAGAAGATAACACTTTAAATATAGGGCTTTGGAGAAGATAGCTTCTATAGTAGACTTTAGGAGGTAATTACTATAATAGAGTATTTTCTGAGTTACTTTAAGGGGTAGAAGACTTTCTATAATAGTATTAGTATTAAGGATACTTAAGATCTTAAATTAGATATATTATAGACTTTCTTATAAAAAGTATCTTAGAGATCTACTTGTTTAATAAACTAATAAGTCTTATTATATACTTAAGAATTATAAGTATCTTAGAGATAGTTTAATAAGAGCTCTTTACCTATTTATACTTATTAAGAGTATATTAATAGTATCTTAAACTTAGATAAGATAGGTAGTAGTAGCTAGTAGTACTTAAGGATTTTAATTAATAATAGATAGAAGAAGCTAGATAAGTATTATACTTTAATAGAGGAGTTACCTCTATATATTACTATATTACTGCTCTATTTTAGATTTAACTTAAAATACTTAGAGAGAAATTAGTGATCCTCTTGCTAATAGGAATAGGTATCTAGTGCTAAACTAGTTTTGAGGAGATATTTTAACTAATAGTATCTTTTTGAAAGGGAGGTTATGAGGAATATAAGTTATTGCTTAGAGCTTATTAACCTAGATAACTTTAAGTAATAGGTTTAAGCTGAAGTTATAATACTTAAGGAAGAAGAGGATAATGAGGAGCTGGATGAATTAGAGAGGTATTTTGTATTTATAAGGTAGGCTAACTATAATCCTATTAATTAGTGGTTTACCTATAAAGAGGAATATTCTTGCTTAAGTAGGCTGGTATTAGGGATCTTGGTGATACCCTTATAATTATCTGACTGTGAGAGGGTATTTAGTGCTACTTCTCTTACTTAGACCTCATAGAGGCTAGTGATGAAGGTAGAAACGCTAGAAATGCTTTAATATATGAGGTAATAGCAGAAGAGGGGTATAATTTCACTACTAGGTGGGTTTGAATAGCCTCACTTAGTAATTAATTGTAATTAATTGCAAGTAATTAAGTATAGTATTGTGATGTGGCAATTAAGTTAAGTTTGACCCTCATAATTGACTTGATTGTGTTGTAGGGAGCGCTGATACTAAGTCTGCAGCGGTTCTGCGACCAATCAACTTTCCACAGCTGCATGTTGGAACAGGGGAGGGAAGATCGTGCCATCAACACTCAAATAAGCTTAGACAATCGCTCCCCCACTATTAGGCCTGTGTACAAGGGCTTGGTTGGCCTCTTGAGACGGCTGAGGGCCGAGCCAAGCAAAGCAACCTCATCGACAACTTCACCTCTCACCGGCGGCGCGGATGGAGACGATGTTACCCCGGAACTTGAGATGCAATTGGCACCTCATCCGGCCGTGAATACTCCGTCAACTGATGTACCTGCATCTACACACGGGGCCCTTGGCCGTCGGTGATCCTTAAGGAGCATAGTATACCAAGAGGCGAGTTGAGCCCTTGTATACAGGGGGAAAGCGCTTCCACGAATCTCATGAGCGCATACATGTGCGTCGGGGGTGGCCCCTTTCTCGGCTCAAGCCGCCTCCGCTGCCGAAGCCCTCATCTACACTTGCTCTAGGCAGACAATAATTTCACGGTTACATAGCATTCGGGCGAACGTGGAAAAGAGTCTGTCTAATCTCTCCAACCCCTGTTAATCCAGCCAACATGAGAAGAGACGGCTGGAGCACAGTCCGTTTTGAGTCCGGAGTCTTTCAGGTTCAAGCGGTCGTGGGGCAGAGCAGGGGGGACTAGATCATGTAACCGACTTACACGGGAGAAAGGAACCCTTCGCGTTCAACGCCCAAACAACGGACTTTCCAAGAAGAAGGCCTAGTCCGCATCAAACCTGCCGTCTTCCTGATCACCATCTTCTCGCCACTCCTTCATAGCCTTTCCATTTTCAAGTTTCGTTGTATCCGAAGCAGCTTCTGACCTCTCGACGATGCTGCTCCTTCAGCCTTTCCTGCTGCTGGTTGCCGCCTTCGCTGTCTCCGTCTTCGGCTACGATGAGTACGGCAGCTACGAGCGCGTCATGTTCTACTACGCCTACCTGACCGACATCAGAACAAACGGCGGCACCCCCAAGACATTTGCCAGGAACTGCAGCAAAGGCATGGGAATCAACGGTCCCTGCTCGTACGACCAGTTCATCAAATACCACACCCCCGGCGCGACGGGGAACATTGTCATCACCGGCGAGGCCTACTCCGAGGGCAACGTCCCAGACCTCGTAGAGACGGCCAGGCTCACGCGCGAGAAGGGTTACACGGGGACGTTCGACACGAAGAAGTTCTGCAACGTCCCGCTCACCGAGTATCCGTCGGCGTTGAAGGCGACAGTCGACAAGGCGAGCGGGCTGTTCATGAAGACCGGTATGCCGGAGAACTTGAAGACCGCCCTCACGACCTCCGTACAGACCGTTCTGAGGCTCCGGATAGCGGAGGCTGTCGAGTCCTTCGAGATGACTAAGGACGGCCGCCAGGTCACAATAAGGACCAAGACATTGCCGCTGTGGGATGGCGCCCCTGACACTGACGATGCGCGAGGGCTTACGATTGATTACCCGGAGACACTGAGGAGTAACCCCGGGGTGACGAAGGAGGAGATCAAAGTTGCATATGCCAATCACGTCAAAGGAAATCACGTAGAAAACCAAAGGGTGCTTTACAAAGGATTGGCAAACATGAAGAATTGTTGATATTTTGGTAGTGGACGGGTTGGTAGTGGACGAGCTACGAAGCCTCGCCTTATTTGTTTTGGGTGATTTACTCCCCTTCTACTGTAACTCCTTTCTTTGACTTATTTAGGCAGATTTCCTTGTGTTTCAATTACTTATCGTACATAATATTCGAACAAGTTTCGAACGTTTGGCCTCTTCCAAACCACCTGCGTAATTACGTTTCGTCTAAGAAGCTGCCAACTGGTATCGAAAAGAAGGGCAAAGAAAAAAAAGGGGGCCCAGTCATCTGTCTGGTTTCCGTAGCCGCGGTCTTGACTAGGGAATGTTGAGCAACTCTGGAGTGGGTGAAAGGAATTGGATGCGATTTTTCCCGGGGAAAGGGGGGGGGGGGAGTCGTCTGCCGTCATGTCCATTTCCGAACGGTCATGCTGCATCAATGGGTGGTATCTGTTGGCACTAACGAGTATTAATCAACAAGGGGTCGTGAACAAAAACAAAACCGTTGTAATTTCGTTCCTGCGTGGTTGCGGCGCAAATGTTACATGGACTTTCCAGCGTTCTTAATGCCAAGTCCGAGTCGGCTGCAAACTCCTTGGTGCCTTCCCCTGCATTAAGCTGATGGGAACATGAACCGCAATTCGCTCGTGGGACCACCTGACCGTAGGTCGCCACCAGAACGGAGGCAACTTCGGTTCATATCTCCATCGGGCGAGCTTTTCGTGCAGCTTCATTTCGGAGTGCGCCAAGTTAGGCGGCCAGCGTCGTTCCCCGTCGCGTGTTTGAAGTGTTTGCGTCTCCCGCTCTATGCAACTTCCTTCGTTGGTTGTTTGAGGCTTTTAGGGGAACCGTATGTCAAGACCTGCTCAATGTCCCTATCCTTTGTATTGGCGCATCAAAGGTATATACACCCCGCTTCAACCAGAACGTTTTGGAATCACGGGAATGCTGCAAGAGCTCCCTGATCTCTCGAGCTGCTGTACACTCTTTTGACATTAGTCGTTCAATTTTGAATCTCTTTCCATTCGCTCTTTTAGGCGAACAGCAGTTCCAGATAGCCTGCTGGTCGTATCCTAGTCTCCCCTTCCACACTCCATCATTGCTATCCTGGTCTCACATTCCTTCTTGATCTCAAGATGCTGTGCAGACTCGAAAGAGTTCTGTTCGGTGTTGTCTGGCTGGTGTCCATAAGCGCTGCTGTCGAGTTCATACCTGGCATCGACGTCGAAGTCATCCCCGCAGACGCTGTAGACCAGCCGGACCTGTCCGACCCTCAAGTTGCCGATTTGGTGCTGCAGCAATGGCAAGAGGCAAATGACAGAGCGCCCGCCTCGCTGCTGAAGTCATGTCCCATCTCCTGCACGGAAGCGGGAACAGACCCTGAGGGCTGGCACGTTTACGAAGACGCCGCCCGCGTCGCCCTCTGCAATGACACGATGCTGCTGGACTTTGCTATTTACACCCAGATCCAGGATGCCTCAACCAAGACAGCAATCAGGGCGTGCGCGGCCGACTATGCCTCGGCAATGGGCTCAAGAAAACGGCAGACAGACGCCTCGTCCTGCTCCTCCGTTAACCAGCGTGCTGTCCGAGAACTCGTAAAGGTTTCATCCAAGAGCAGCACACCGTCCAACTCAAACGCGGTCAGTGGAGTCCTCGCAGCTGCGCGTCAGTTGCGGAGTCACTTTAAGACTGCCGAACAGCCCTGCGCCAACCACACTATCAAGTTTGGATACGACGGGGATGCTGTGCTGGGTGTTTACGTGGGCTCCCAGTTGCATCAACAGGGCCTTACAGACAAAGTTATGGAGGCGTTCATTCTTCACATCGAAGGAAATGGCATCCCAGAAACGATGGCCGTTCAGCTCTGCGGTGCCAAGGACCGCGGGGCCGACTACGCTCTCGGAATCGTTGCCAGCGCGACTGCCGACCTGGCTTTTGCGCAAGAAGCCGTCAGGATGTGGAGCAGCGGCAAATGTGTCACGTCTCTCGATGATGACCGGGATTGGCTGGAGGTTTCCCTTCAAGTCCCCGTGCCGGTCTTGCCATCTAATCGACAGCGCTCCCCGCAAGGCAAGTAAACTTGTCAAGTTCAATCAATCAATCAATCAATTATGAAGCTATCGCTAGTCAATCAAGTCAAGTTTGAGGCTCAAACTTGATTGATTGCCTTGACTCTTTTGACAGGGGGGGAGGGGGGCTACTAGGGCCTAGGGGGCCTTATAGGGGGGCTTTAGAGGGGGCTTAAGGGGGGCTTAAGGGGGGGGCTTAAGGGGGCTAAGGGACCCGGAAAAGCCCGGAAAATCGTTAATCCAGCCCGACTCTCGGCCCCGAAACCCCGGCTCCGGGCCCCCCCTTTCAGCCCCCCTTCCGGCCCCCCTTCCGGGGGCCTCCCCTCCGGGGGCCACCCTCCCGGGCCCTAACCTTCCGGACCCTTCCCTCTAGAGCCCTCCCCTCTAGAGCCCTCACCTCCAGAGCCCTCCCCTCTAGAGCCCTCCCCTCTAGAGCCCTCCCCTCTAGAGGGCCCCCCTCTAGCCCCCTCTAGAGGGCCCCCCTCTAGCCCCCTCTAGGACCCCCCTCTAGAGCCCTCACCTATATGTGGGGATATTTGCCAATTAATTGCAATTAATTGGCAATCAATCAAGTATAGCATCGCGATGTGGCAATCAAGTCAATTATGGGCCTCAAACTTGATTGATTGCCTTGGGGTGGGCGCTGCTAATCGAAGCGACGACGAGGCGGTCAAGGCACGCAGAAGGCATGTCGGCCACGGACACGCTGCGCTGCATGCCAGGGCGGACTGCAAAACGACGAAAGTCAATGCCGGTGACGGCTGCTGGGCTGTCGCGCAGAGGTGTGGGATATCCGAGGCCGACCTGACGAAGTATAACACGCGTACCAACTTTTGCAATACTCTCATTGCAGGAGAGACTGTTTGTTGCTCTTCCGGTACTCTTCCAGACAACACACCGCCGCCCAATCCCGACGGCACATGCCAGACGAAGCGGGTAGAGTCCCAAGACACCTGCGCTGCACTTGCTTCCAAGTGTGGTATTTCGCCCGCGGACTTCATGAAGTTCAACTCCAAAACAGGTCTCTGCGCTGGTTTGCAGCCCGGACAGCATGTTTGCTGCGGCCGCGGTAACCTGCCCGATTTGAGACCGAAGCCCAACCCGGACGGCAGTTGCCACGAGTATACGACGAAGAAGGATGACTTCTGCGCCTCCATCGCAGCCGAGAATGGGCTCACGGTCGAGGATCTCGAAAAATATAACAAGCAGACCTGGGGCTGGAATGGCTGCAAGCTGCTCTGGTCTGGCGTCAATATGTGTTTGAGCGAAGGAAGCCCTCCCATGCCCGCACCGGTCGCTGTAAGTCACCATTACCTCTGACCTTTCTGTTCGTCGCTTTTTCTTTTCTAACTTTGAGTTTCCAAAGAACGCTATGTGTGGTCCTACCGTAAGCTCCAATCTCCCAAGCCCCGATGCTCACTACCTGTATCTATCTCGGCTTAACACTTCCTGCATAGGTACCCGGGACCAGCAAGCCAACAGGCAACACCAACTTGGCCGATCTGAACCCTTGTCCTCTGAAGACATGCTGTAACATCTGGGGCCAGTGCGGAACCACTGCAGACTTCTGCCTCGTCTCAAAGTCTGAGACTGGTGCACCTGGCACAGCGGCCCCCGGTAGCCACGGATGTATGTAGCGACCCCCCTCCCCAAAAGACCACACAACATGCAGACGATACCCAGACGATATCCATGCCCTACTTCCTTAGTATCAGTTGAAAGGCTGACCTCACGGTTTTCTCCTTTAGGTATCTCAAACTGCGGCATGCATATCGTAAAGGGAGACCCTCCTGCCAGCACCATGCGCGTAGCCTACTTCAGTGCCTGGAACTTCAACCGGGACTGCCTCACGATGAGCGTTGACATGGTCGACACGTCCAGGTACACACACATCCACTTCGCGTTTGCAGATCTCACTCCGAACTTCAATGTCGACGTGAGCAGGGTGCAAGAGCAGTTCGATATCTTCAAGGGCATGAAGGGGGTCAAACGAATCATCTCTTTCGGCGGCTGGGATTTCAGTACCTCGCCAGGCACCTACAAGATCCTTCGTGAAGCGGTTAAGTACGAGAACAGAAAGGTTTTCAAGGAGAACGTCGTGGCATTTGTGAGTGAGCATGGACTGGACGGAGTGGATCTCGACTGGGAGTATCCAGGGGTAAGTCTTCTCAACGTGTGACCGAACGACAAGTTTCTTTCGACTAACTCGACAACGCTGTTAGGCCCCTGACATTCCCGGCATCCCTGCGGGTGATCCAAAAGAAGGCCTCGACTATTTTGCTTTTCTCTTTGAGACCAAGCGGATGCTAGACCCTTCCAAGACAGTATCATTCGCCGCCCCGGCATCGTACTGGTATCTTAAGGCTTTCCCCGTTGAGATCATGGGAGCTTGGCTGGACTACATCATTTACATGACTTACGACTTGCACGGCCAGTGGGATCACGGCAACAAGTGGACTTCCTCTGGCTGTCCCGGAGGCGACTGCCTGAGGTCTCACGTTAACATGACTGAGACGGTTAACGCCCTATCCATGATCACCAAGGCAGGTGTACCCTCCTCGAAGGTGGTCGTCGGCGTCACATCGTACGGCCGATCCTTTCGCATGACCACCGCCGGCTGCACCGGTCCCATGTGCACATTCGCCGGCACCGCCAAGGAGTCGCCCGCACGCAAAGGCACTTGTACTGACACCGCCGGCTACATCTCCAACGCCGAGATCAACGAGATCATCGCACTGGGCGGCAACATAAAGACCTACATGGAGGCTGGCTCCGACATTCTCGTCTACGACGATTACGAATGGGTGGCCTATATGGATGACGTGACAAAGCTAGGCCGGGAGAACGCGTACAAGGCGTTCAACTTTGCTGGCACAACGGACTGGGCAGTTGACCTGCAGGAATTCCGCGTGGCCGGGGAGCCTGGTCACGAAATTCCGACCGACATCGTTCTCGGACCCTGCAACGCCAAGTACTCTTCGCTGGACGCCATCGTCGCAGACAAGGACAAGATTCCGGGCCATTGCGCCGACCAGTACGTTCTCTCTGTGCTCGGCGACATATTGAAGGGGGCGCTTGACGGATACGACAAAATCATGAAGAGCGACTACGACAACAAGTACAACACCTTCGCCCGCGCGATACGCGAGACATGGAACAACAACCTTCACGACTTCTATTTAACTTCCACCGACGAGTACTATGACTGCGTGATGCAACGCTTCGACAACGGCAACTGGCGTAACGAGTCGGTCGCCTGCCCGCCGAAGTACTCTTCAGGCTACGCCTTCAGCATATACTTAATACCAAAGGACGAGAACAAGCTCTACAGGTTCATCGAGGAGAAGTACCACATCGCCCGCGAATGGATCCACGGGTCCGTCACCCAGATCGCGCCTTGCCTCCCAGAACAAGACTGCGAGAACTACGGCAAGCTCATCGGGCCCCCGGCCCTGCGGCCCGACTTCCAGATCCCCAACCCCAAAGACTCCATCCAGAAGTCGCTGGGCAACCTGCGGGAGCTCTCCGAGTTTGTGACCGACGCGGCCGAGGACATCAAGATCGGCCTGTTCCTAGACATGACGATCGACGCGGTGGACGCTGCGTCGGTGCCCGTGCTCATGATTCAGGCCGCCGTGGAGTCCATGAAGCAAATCTATGAGATTGGCAAGGACATCGAGCAGAAGGAGCGTGAAAACATCATCCTCATGGCGCTAACGGCGATCCTGTTCATCATCCCCGGCCTGGGCCAGGCCGCCAGCGCGGTGACTGGCCTGGCCGTCTTCGCGCGCATCGCTGTCGTCATCGCCGAGCTCGGGGGCGCCGCCCTCGGGGCGTACGACATCGCGCAGAACCCGGACAGCGCGCCGCTTGGCGTGTTCGGCATTCTCCTAGGCGGTATTGCGTTGCGCAGCGCGCTGAAGCCCTTCCTAGGAGAAGCGGCGGCAGTCCGGCGGGGTATGTCGGCGAGGCAGATCGAAGGCTTAGGGCCGGTCGTGAAGGAAGGGCTGGACAAGATTGGTACGGTCGCGAAGCTTTGTAGGCTATGATTTATCTCGTTCTGCGTGGTTGATGGGCTATTTCGTTTCTTTCTACGCGTGTGACTCGAAAATCATAACCTTGAGGAAGTGTAGCCGCGCGAATGTTGTCGAAGCTCTATTGGGCACAGAAGAACATAGTCATGTCCGTCAAGCACTCTTGCGCCTGTACTATGGCGTTGCCGATATTACCAAAAAGAGCCATCCGTTCACTGTTTCTGACGCTGTGTCTGTGCTTAGGTAAGGGAGCAAATCCAGCACGAGAGCCTATATAAGACTCTTGGTGGCCCATGTGCTCAACTATTCGAGGCCCTAGACCAGCAGTCGAACGAGGAGTCTTCTGGAGATGAAACTTCAGTAACCTGTTTTCTCGATAGATATCTAATCAAGCAAGCACTCAGCAATTATTTTTAGACACCATTTTTAATACATATAGGACCAGCCTCCATTACTGCTTTCAAAATCTACTTCAAATATATCTAGATTCCACATCGAATAAGGGTGTTTTTAAAAGGCGACTAGCAGTCACTGATAGCAGAAACTCTGCGATCGTTCCAAAACAAGCGCACAAGGGCGATACTATCATCGTTCTTTGCAGTTCCAGCTCTATATCTAGTGATAACCCCCCAATACTTATTATTCAGCAAAAAGGAGTAGGAGAGTTCCAAGCACTTGATACCACAATAATAGAGAAGATCATAAAGACAGGTTCGTACCTCGCCATAGAGTACTAACACGATCTCGGAGTCAGTGAATCAGAACTCCCTGCACGAGAGGGCGACTACGTCTACCACTGCTCGGTAGTTGGACAAGGTTTTGTTAACGTCCCCCTAGATCCACCTATCGGTCAGTTTATGAAACCAGTTATATGTGTTGACGTTACATCGAAATGTGTCTGACAGGACGAGAGAAACCAGGCGCCCGACGGAAAATTTAAAAGGCCGCTCTCAATACAGCAACCGCGCGTATGACGACTTTATTGCGGCGTCTGACTTTATGTTCAATCAATCATCCTTGGGGCTATCACATGTGATTCATATAAGTTGACATAAGTTTATTCCATGAGTTTGCCAGCCGGGTAGTGTACTCTCTAACTCCAGCGTACCGAATGCTTCTATTATGATGATAGTCGGAGAGAAAATGATAGAGGTAGTGATCATGATAATGATGATGGATGACCCCGAAACACGACGATCATGGACGACAACGATAGACACTGCCCGGATGGCGAACTGGCCCTGCCCGGCTAGGAGAACTCTATTCCATCTCTAGAACAGACCAGGCGGGCTTTGCACGGCTGTCACATTCAATCCCCCTCCCACCTCGGAGCATTCAATATCAACGCCATCAGCGACCCAGACAGCAGTGCCGTGACAGGCACAGTAATAAACCACCCAAAATAAATCCACGCCACCAACCTCGGGTTAATACACCTCCAATCCCCATTCGCAAGCCCAACCCCCACCGTCGCGCCCGCGATACACTGCGTCGTCGACACGGGCAGCGCCAGTCGCGTCGCCATCAGCACCGTAATCGCGCTCGCCAGCTCCATCACGAACCCGCGGCTCGGCGAAATCAGTGTCAGCCTGTGCCCGAGGTTGCGCATCACATGGTACCCGTACGTCAGCAGCCCCAACACGATCGCGCCGCCCCCGAAACATAAAATCCACAGCGGCACGCCGACGGCCGTTTCCACTCTTCCTGTCCGCCAGATGTCGTAGGCTGTCGCAAAGGGCCCGATGGAGTTGGCCACGTCGTTGGCGCCGTGGATGAAGGACGCCGTGGAGGCCGTGAGGATCTGCAGCGCGCTGTACATGTACTCGGCGCGGTTGTCGTAGTGCGGCGCGCGCGCGTGCATATCCTCGATGTCCCAGCTGAGCAGGGCGTTGCGCTTTTGCAGGGTGACGACGTCCTTTTCGAGACCGCGGAGGATGAGGCGGTTGAGGCGCCAGAGGAGCACGGGCAGGCTGTTCCAGGGCCCGGCGGGGCGCGGGGGAATGATATCTTCTGAGGAGCGGCGGGAGGTTACTGTTTCTGCGGACGAAGGAGTTTGCGGGAGGGCGAGCGCTGGGGAGGGAAGTAGCACGGCGGGCGGCTCGTCTCTGAAGAGGTCGGAGGGCGTCTGGCTTGTCTGGATCGATTCGAGGAGGGTCTCAGAGGCCCGGACGTAGGCGAGCTCGTCGGCGGTGAGGTGGCCGCGGTAGTAATCTTTGATGTTGATCTTTTTGACGCCCGACGGGGGCGGAGGGGGTGGCGGACGGTTGAGGAGCCAGGGGCCCTTCCACATCATTGTCCACTCGAGCTGCCAGTCCTCGTTGACGATCTTGCGCCAGAGGTAGGGGAGGACGAAGAACGCCTGGAGAGAGGTCGCGCCGGTTGCGACGGAGAAGACGGCGATGAGGATCTGGGCGGGGGTGAGCTCGACCTCGGTCTGGACTCCTTTCCACGCCATGAGCACTGCAATTGTGTTAGTGACGGGAGGATTCAACCAGCTGAGGGATTCGTTTACTGGTCAACGCTCCAAAGGTCAGGAACGTGTAGAAAGGGATGGAGTAGAACGCCTTCCTCACCGCGTTCGTCTTCGTCAGGACGAACTTCTTGGTCACAAGGAAAAGCCCCGCGCCCAGCACGCCCGATAGCCCCGGTGCGATAATCCACGCCGCAAAGACCTGCGACACGCCGTCCCAGCCCCACGAGATCTTGCCGATGCCGACGGACGCGGTCGCGGCGCCGACGATGCCGCCAATGATGGAGTGCGTCGTCGAGATGGGCAGGCCGTTGCGGGTCGCGACGCTGAGGAAGACGGAGGAGCCGAAGATGGCGCACATCATGACGAGCAGCAGCACGCTCGGGCGGTCGTCGTAGAGGTGCGGGTCGATGATGCGGTTGCGGATCGTGTCGGCAACGCGGGAGCCGATGGAGACGGAACCGCCGAACTCGGCGAAGGTGGCGATGACCATGGCCTGCTTCATGGTTAGAGAGCGGGAGGAGACGGAGGTCGCGAAGGAGTTGGCGACGTCGTTTGCGCCTGGGCTGCGTCAGTGGATGCTGGTCCGGGGCTGGGTTCAGTGCCTTTGGCGGGGGTTTCCACGACGGGAGGTTCTTACCAATATTCCAGGCATCTAAAAAGGAGAATATGGTGGCTATCGCAAAGATGTAGTCATATTGGTGGAGGGCCGCCGCCATGGCGGCTCGCCCGGCGTACGGCGGCACGGAGGTGCGGTGTTGAGAAGTGGAAGATGTTCGTCTCGGCTCCGGGTATGTTCGGCGAGGCCAGTCCGGCGGGACACGGCTTAGCCGCGTTAATGGGGACTCATGTTACGAGTCAGGCCTTCGAAGCATTATCTTTCTAGTAATTCTGTTTTGATGTAACACGGCGGTTCGCGATGAGGAACGAGCACGACGGATGATCCGCGTTGGATATTGAGAGAGTGGATGCTGCGAGCCTCCGGGGGCTGGGGGACGGTTATATGAATCGCGCATTCCGGCCTGCCGTAAGCCGAAAGCTCCAAACCAGGGCGAGCCTCCCGCATGGCATTGGCAGCGATGTGGTATCAGGGATCTTGGTGTGCCTGGATGGGCTGCGTGGGCGAGATGACAGGCGCATGCTTCTGGGCTGCCTCGTCCGCCCGGCTGGCCTCGCGTTAGTGGCGTTGATAGTTCCAGACCCCAGCTAGCTGCGACAGCTGGGAGACTAAGACACGAGGCGGGGAGGTGGTCGATGACAGGCTAGATAAACAGTCTTGGAAGCTCCATATTGCTGACCGACGCGGGCGGAGCTGGCGGACGCGAAAGGGCGAAACATCGCACAATTTGGGCGCTCGGTGTGTCGTTTCCAGTCGGAAGGCTCGGTCGCTATGCAATGATGGTGGCATGATCAACGCCTGCAGATATGCGGCAATGGCTGAAGGAGCAGCTCTCCCAGAATCATTGTGACACGAAAGATGTGCGAGAGCTGGAGAGCTTGGCGGACGTTGAAAAAAGGAGCCAATCGATTGCTGGGATTCGAGCACGCTTCTCAACGTTGCGAGTTCGCCAAGACCCACAACCCACGCGGGCGCCGGGATGGAGGGTGACATGGGTTGTTCCTGTTCGGGGGTGCTGTTGGTGTTCTCCTGTACCAGCGACGCGCGGTGCTATTCTGCGCGGGCCTTGCGGATCGTCCACTCTTCCGCAGTGTACATCCTCGGTGCTGGGCTCTATTCATCGTTCTTTGACTATAGCCAGGAATGTCTTAACACGAGCGACTGCCAGAGTTGTGCTGTTGAGATCCAGCAGAGCTCGGATTTATGGGTGTGTTACCTATGTACTAAGGCCATCGTAGAGATGGTGACTCCTATTGCCGGGGTTGCCACATTGGCCAAAGACAATATTAATGGATTTTTGTCTTCCATTCTGGCCTTGCTGGAGGGTTCCAGAGATGTCACTGGTCAGCTTGATTCCGAGGGGTTTCAACTTTTCACCCTCAATGGACTCCGCACCCAGAATGTGCCTGAGACATGCAAGACAGCGTTAAGCGCAAAAGTCCCGTGCGACTTTTGGCTGAGCATGTTTGAAGAGCCGGGATATAGAGGTACGCTCGGCAACAAGACGTTGACTAACTCGGTTTGTGACTCGGGTTGCGGGAAGTCACTGCAAAGCTGGTTCGACAACGTCAATGCTGGATGTCAGGCCTACAATATTTCTGGGGAGATACCGACTCTTCATGGAAGGCGCATGTGGGCAGAATACAACGAGACCTGTCTCAAATATCCGGAAACCGGGCTTTACTGCAATGATTTGGACCGATCAGACAATCAGTCAACTCAATGAACCGATCAAGCTAACAACTGCAGACTTGATTGCCGAGTTCAGTAGCGTCACCTCGATCCGGGAAATGCCAAAATCCGAGATGTGCTCCGAATACTACATCAACCGTGTTGCTCTCATACAGAGTAGCTCATATTCAATTTACGATAATAGTTATAAGAGCGACTTGGAACTCATCTACGAGACTTGCGGGAAAACCGGACCGACGGATCCTCCCCCACCAGTATCTACAAGACCTGATGAAGGGTCAACTTTGTGCGTATCCAAGAAGTGGCATACTATCGGTCAGGGAGGCGCATATTGCGAGCAAGTGGCCTCCATCAACAATGTCTCAGCCGTTGTATTGTACAGCATGAACACTCAGATCCTTAATTGCAGCAGTATCCCCGACAATACCGAGCGTTGTCTACCGCTATTATGCGGTCGTATTATTTCTTACACTGATCAAGATACCTTGACACCCCATCCCGGTGGAACAGGTTACACGTCATTCCCGACTGATCGGCCAAATAACGCAATCATTGCGGAGGGAACAACGATGAAATGTGGAAGATGGCATGTGTCCGCGGAGGGTGATAGCTGAGCTACGATCTGCTTGTCATCGGACATCAACATTGCACTATTTGCCGCCGCTAATCCATCACTCGGGAGCGAGTATTCGGAGTGCACGAGAAGTTTGGTGTCCGGGAACGCGTACTGCTCCGGGTCAACATATGACTGGGAGGACACGGAGGAGCTCTGAACCTGAAGTGCCACGCCATGTAGTCCCATTCACATTATTAAACTAAGATAATACTACCAGTCAACGCCTGGAATACCCCAGAAGTTCAGAGCCCCGTCAGTCTCGGACCACGGGTCTTCAGCCCATCCGATTTCCTCGTAGATAAAATCCGGATCCTCTACGCCGAACCACATTCCCCAGAAATCATATATCCCCGCACGACACCATAGTCTACCGCGCTTCGGCCATCCACGGTCAGCCCATTGCTCTTCAGTGACGAGTTTCATCCAACGCTGGTTCCTGGGCGGATCCATGCTATCAGTAACAGTTTCCCGATCCTCGGGCATAGCCAGAATCGCATCGATACTCTGCTGGTCAAGCATCAAGCAGAATCTAAAACGGGCATTAGGAACATCGCGTTTGTCGGTAGAGTTGAGATGTTCCTTGACCCAGGCATCGAACCGTCTTCCAACCTCCTCCACATCTGCTCCAGCGAGTCCCGGGTCCTCTATAATGTCGCTGTAATACCGACTTGAAAGATCCTGGTTAGGCAGAGGGTCTTTGGGCTCTCGTCCTCGGCGACGAGCGAGATCATGGTAGGCCCAGTGTTTAGCGTAGTTGTTGAGCCGCTCAACGGCCTTCGTGAATGCCTCATCAGAATCGTAAGCGGTGCGAAAGATGGTAAATCCCCAGCAATAGGGATAGTTATGGCTTCCATCGTAGTTGGCCATTTGAAGTAGACATTGCCTTGAGCTCCGATTCGTTTCCGGATCGTTAACGAAACGAGGCTTTGGGTTGGCTATTGCCATATCGATGGGCTGGAAGTTCGCCATCGCTTGCTTCCAGTTGCGGGAATTACTGTATGCGGCGCCAAGACGGCGAGAGGGGAAGGTCCGTTGAAGCAAGAGAAACCAACGTGTTTTTATTCTCTTCAGGTGCCTGCATCCTTGTTGACTAAGCCGCCCGGGTCGAGATTTAGAGTGGGGCCGGAACCATGGTCGCCGTGTCGGCTCCCATGACTGGGGATTCGTGGAGGCATCTGAAGACAGGGCAACAGCATGAGTGCCTGTTAACAACAGGCACTAAGGTATTCAAAGTCCGATCTTGCTCTAGGTTTCTCTTGCTAATCATCCCGGACACGCGGCAGGCTGTATGCCTACAGGTGGGTCTTGCATGCATGTAGTCTTCGGTGACGGTTCAGGGCGGTGGCGGTAAGTCTTCTTCCTCATGACTGAGCCCAGGTGCATCGAGGCTCTTGGAACTCACTATTCAATGACACTGATAAAAACATTTTTGAATTTGTCTGAAGAGCACGATTGAATCTAATATCAGAAGAGCTCTAGCATTAATAATCAATAACTGTTGTTCATCTCTCGTTGGTTACCCCACCTATTGCGCTATGCATATTCTTTTTACTATTCAAACTCCGATGACTAAACTTTTGCCAGCCCCAAACCTCCTTTCGCAATGCGACAAGCAATGAGGAATGATGTTCCTAAGCATAAGCAGAGACCTCCGAATATGAAGGCGTACGTGTACTCTCCCCCGCCGATCTTGATCAACGCGCCGGCGAGAGGGGGGCCGGTTAGGTTGGCAAAACTGACGATGGAGTACACCATACCCATCCGTGTGCCTGCCTTGCGAAGGTCGGTTGTAAGAGACGATAGGGCGGCTGGGAAAAGACCTTGTACCGTGGCTCCGAAGATGCCTATAAGTCGGATTCCCGTTAGCGTTGTTTGTATCTTGAACTCGATAAGAGCGTTGGGGGCAGGTGTTCAAGGCAGCTCAACGTTGACGTACCATATGTCACAGCCCAGACGTATAAACCAGCAGCACTCTTGATTGCCATCCAAGAAAATAAAAGGATAGTGCAAACTGCAGCAGCGGGTGTGACGACGTTGAGAGGTCCCAGGAACAGATCTGCGAGAAACCCGGGTATAACGCGGCCAATGGCTCCAACTCCGTTCATTATCATCAGAATATCGATCGAGGTATCATAGGAGAACGACAACTTGTCCCGACTGAAGGGGCCGATGCTACTTCGTGTTAGTGTCTGATGCTAAAAGGGGTTATCATTGTTGTAACTTACTAGTAAAAGGCAAAGTAGACACCCCAGAAGTTCTAGAAGCGGTCAGCATCTCCTGCACGAGGTTGAAGTTCTTCAAGGAGGACATACAAAGAACATGCCAATCGTGAACAAGAGGTATGGCTTCTCCTTGAAAGCCGACAATTCGACAAGCGAGCCGGCACGTCTCGGTCGAAGCCGAGACCTCATAAATATGTTGGCAACCAGCAAAGTAACAAGCTGCACCAACGCCATCACCCGCATCGTCCACCCGAAACCAATCTTGGGCAAGAGCTGGCGCGCCATGACCGGATATATCATGCCTCCCGTAGCCGAGCCGCTGATGGCAATGCCAATAGCCAGGTTCCGCCGGCGCTTGAAGTACGTCGACAAGACAGCCATGACCGGGCAAAACAGCCCGCCCATGCCGAGCCCGATGCAGAGCCCCTGGGACAGGAACAGCTGCCAGTATTCGGTCGCGAAGGACGCGGTCAAGCTCCCGAGCACAACGAGCGCCGAGCCGATGCCGAAGACGGTGCGGAAGTACCCTGCGTCTGTGAGGCGTCCGGTGAAGACGCCCACGACGAAGAGGAAGAAGACCTGCATCGAGCCGATCCAGCTGATGTCTGACGCCGGCCGGGAGAGGTAGTCGCGGTAGAAGGTCTGGAAGATGCCGAAAGAGTTGATGGTGCCCCATGTATTCACGACAACGAGGTGTGCCATGAGGGCTTGCGTCCAGGCCTGCAGGCCGCCGTCTGGTGGGGGTTCGTCGGCGTCCGCGGGGGATGTATTGGAGGCTTCTTTGGTCGGGGCATTTTGTTCAATGTCTTCGTCGGATGTGTCGAATATTACGGACGTTGAAGGTGATGGGTGGGAGCTGGAGGTGTTGTCGGTCTGGTGTTTATCTTTGGGGTATTGCCCTGCTCGGGGCTGCGTGGTGCCGTCCATGATGACGGGGATAGTTGTAGAGAACTCAACAAAGGGGTATCGTCAAAGCAAGGCGTTTGTGAATTAACATAAACACCATGAGAACTGGCATTCTCAAGCTATACATTAGTTTATATTTTCAGCAGCGGCCAAAGGCACACAGACGGCCAGCATCTTAGTCCCAGAATTGCTATCGTCGTGGCACTTACACCTCCCATATCTGCCGCCGCAAGCCGAAGCGCTCAGCCCAAGCAACCCGATAACTTTTCGAGAATATGAAAAGGAACACTCTTAAAGCCCCGTACTCTGACTCAGGATGCTCAAGTTCTGCGGACGAGGGGTTTCCCGCACCAATCCCTTTACACCAAGGATTTCCCGGCAGTTTCCCGGCAGTTTCCCGACGAGTTTTCCGGCAACCGGCGAACTTTTCCGCGGGGAAGATAGCGAACAGGGGCACGAGTTGCACTCGGCGCCGTCAGAGCTTCGGAAAGCGACGCAAATTTTGTTTTCAGCGGAGAATCTTTGCTTCAGATTTCTACTTTGGGAGGTTAGTCACTCGGTTTACGTCGGCGTGGGGACTGATGTCCAGGTCTCATTTCTCCACTCTGACTTGATAGAACATTTTGGGTCTGCTTTCGGGTGTAAGTGGCCGACAGCTGGTTTCGGGTCCTTGGATAGCTAGCTTAGGTACCCTTCATTCCTTGGGGACTATAATTTAAAGCTCCCCAGCTTTGGCTTATATTTCTGAAGTTTCAGTTGACTGCAAATCTCTCATTGCTGAGAGAGAGCGTCAACTGTTGGTGAGTATCAATCCTACGCGTCTTAAACAGTAAACAGACAGTAAGGTAGTCCATCTGTACCCGTTGTGATGTTGGAGTAACGTAAGGCGGCCGCTTTCACGAGAGCCTAAACTCTACCCTGATGTCTTTCCAACAGCGGCAGTGTGTTATCGGAGAAAAGGAAAAGATGTGGCGCGTGCGGCTTCGCGAAAACAGCGACCATTGACCCAGTGACAATTCATTACTTGACTCACCAAGGTGTTCCTGCAAGCTCCTTTTACCCCCTATTTCTTCAAGCTGCCCCCTGAAAGATTTCTTCTACAGTCACACAGATTCTCGATCCATGGCCATCTCTCCGCACAGAGTCACGAACTAGCTCATCCCAAACATGGAGAACGCATCTACTCAGGGCAAGATGAGGTTGGATCGGATGCCACCGGAGATCATCCTGATGATTTTCAAAATCATACATCCCCGAGACATTCTGGCCTTGAACCTCACCAGCACTACTTTCCGCAATTCTTTTCTCGCGCATGAAGGCATCATCATCGGCGAATTGGTTGCTTCAATTCGACGTATGCTTCCCGATGACCTGCTTCACCTTGCCATGGTCGCCGTCTACCTCCGCTTCACGAACGCCAAAGTCGACTATACCGCAAACGACATCAACCCAGCGGAGCATTCCGAGCGCCTGATTGATTACGTCGAACGCTCTTTCGATGACCCAGTAACGAGATGGCCGCAACAGCAGCTTCACCCGGTGGACGTGATAGCAATCGAAGCGCTGGTCAGCGAAGCCGACTTGATAGGCGTTGCAAGAGAAGACCGTCTAATGGAAGGCAATGATGTTGACTTTGTTTTTCCGTGGAAGCTTAGAAACCCAACCGCACTTATTGTGGCACGCGACAAGCTTCCGATCTTGATCTTCGAGATCTGTTGCCAATGCGTTCTTCGTCATGGTGAGGTTCTTGACACGGCCGAGGAGACGCGGTTGCTCGATAAAGTTGCGCGAGTTGTCCGCGACGGTGTCACAAAGCTCTGGGGCAGCGATGGACGTATCGAGGCCGTGTGGGCGCAAGATAGTGGCCTGATCATGAGACCGGGAGCTTATCTCCGGTCTCTTGGGAGTTGGATTTGCAGGGCCCTCGCACCTCGGCTCAGACACGCTGTGCGTAAGGTGGTCGAAGTTCAAGGAATTTGTAATCGACCGTATGCGCTGTGGCCAGAACGTGTCCAACTTTTGAGTGAGTCTTTGCCATTGCCAAGCGTACAAGCTTCCCTCGAGAATCCGGCGGTATTGTCATGCTCAGCAGCCCTTATGCAAAGAGGCTTGTACCATGACGGGATATTAGGACGGTTGGATGTCCGAGAACGTGACTGGCTCCGAAAACTAAGCCCGAGTTTGAGCATTGAGGATTTTGAGAGGATGCCTTTATCAGTAATCGATAAGCTGGCTAAGGTAGGCCTTCTCCAGTCGGCTCAAGTTGTTGCCTGGCGGTTTCCATCACCACTTTATCGCATTACTTGTTTGGGCGAAGGCGGCAGCGGCGATCAAGAACTTCTCTTCATCAAGACTACTGGAGGCCTCAGGGCAGTGGCTTCACTGAAAACTATATGTCAGCACGAAGATTGGACTCGGTTGGATGAGTTCTCCTGGATATGGCACAACCTCTCGGCTGGAATTCGGCCTCTGGTGGGACTTTTGCGAGTGGGACAATATCAGAGCCGACAGCAGTGCCTCCGGTCTTTACGTGGGCTCAGCGCGAGGGCCATGCGGAAAACGCTCCTCGAGTTTCAGTCCTACGACCCCTACCAAGGTTGGTATCCTAATATTTCTTCATTTAAATCCTCTGTCATCATATCGTACGCGCCCAATCAGATCGGAAAACCTGGGCCATGGAAACCCAAGCCTTTTGTGGAGGAGGTTCGGGATGAGGAAGGATCGAAGGAATTCAGGGCCGTCAGATGGTGATACAGCCGTGCCTGCCTTTTATCAGGGGAAGAGGCAATGCTTAGCTTAACGGTCACATATTAAGTAAATAAGTGGAGGATTTAAACAAAAACGTCCTGAAGGAAATTCGTTTGTTGGCCAAAAGACTCTCAGAAAAGCACGGTGTGCGAAAGATGGCACGCTTCCCAGCGTACGGCGGCACTGCGGCTTATCAAGCCGGTCATAGCAGCATTTTAATCGATAGTCTAGGTCCATGGAGGGCCGTTGATAACATATCTTTGGACAGGCATATGAAGAAATCTAACAATATTCTGCGGCACAAGCATCCATGGAATTGGCATTAAAGAGCGGGGGAGAGTAACGGTCAACTCTAACACTGCCTCGGCTTCCTCCCAGCAAAGCAAATACCAAATAGTGGCCGCGACTGGCGCAAAAACAATCAAATACATCATCATCACAAGTAATGTTCAAGTTACTAACTAACGTGTATTCAAACGCTGGCTTACGTTTCTTTCCATGCTGCATCACCCATATGACCTCAATTGCCGAACGGCTCGATTTCTGAACAGCCTCAATTATACGCCCTTTCCAAATATTTCCAAGTTGACATGAGACGTCTCTCCGACTGCCTTCTTAGTCACCATCACGAGATCATCGACCGCGCCGAGGAAGCGTGTGAAGGCGTTGATGGCCCCAATCAACTGCCTGCCCTCGTGGCCTTCAAGCTGCTCTCGGACATTCAAGTCATCCTGTTTTGCCCGTTGAACTTCTCTAGCCCTGAGAGGTCTGCTTATCAGAGGCGTTGGCAATAGGGCAGGCAATGGCTCGCCCGAATCTAAAGACTGTTGGACAAGTGATAGTGTTGACATTAGATCCACAACCAGATTTTCATCGTCGATATTCATGGAAGACATGAGCCGAGCCCGGAGCCGAAGTGGTAGTTCGGTCATGTAGAGACCGAGCTCTGCCAAACTTGCGTTGATGCTCCTACAGAGGTATGTTGCTCTTCGAAGCGTCTCAGTGTCGATGTTGGAAGTAGAGAACTCGAACTTGGTAAGTTCTATAGGCCGACCAATAGCGTCCAAGATCCCATCGCACATGGCTGTCTCTTTCTCGATGAATTGGACGAGATCCTTAGGAGGCATGCGCCAAGTCGATACCAGCAGAGCATAGCGGTCTTTGAATCCCAGTAAAGACATCGACAGAATGTGTCGATACTGCCGACTTCCAGTCATTGGCCGAGGGAATAGCCCAATGAGCATGGCGCTAGCGTTTCCAACGAGAACGAGAAGAACTCGGCGCCAGAAGATCTGATAACCAACACCGGGGTTGCCGTAGGTCGGCACGTGCGAGTCGATCCAGCTGTACGCAAGAACCATGTATGCAGTGGCGGCAAGCATGATACCCGCGGCCAAGTGCTCTGGTGGTGTGAACAGCCTCCACCACATAAGAGGGATGATCAGCACAGCCATCACAACAGCGAGGCCGTATGGGTTGCCAGGACCAGACCCAGCACCGATGTACCAGCAGACCAGGCCGATGATACCGCCTGCCACTGTGCTAAGTGTTCGGATAATGATGCCAGACAGCAGGTCCGACATGTACGGCTCAATAGCGAGTTGGCCCATAACCATGGCCCAGAATCCCTTTTCCCGGTAGTAGAAGCCGGCAGATGATGGGATGACGGCTGGCAGCGCCAAAGCGATCGTCACCACCAGCGTGCGTAAAGCGTGAATGCCTTCAACGTCAGTGAACCAATGAATTAGGCCCAGGAAAACCATGCTTGGCTTGCTCCTCGTTCGGCTCGTAGGATTTCTCATGCTCTTGATGAGTGCAGCCGCAGTGTTAGGGTCGTCGGTCTTTTCTTTGGTCTTCTTCTTTCTGCTGAAAAGTCGAGACTTCTTCTCCGGTCGTGAGACGGTGGACATGGTTCGAGCCAAGTCCACTACTCCCTGCGTTGTGCTTGGAGTTTCAGTTTGGGATACACTCAGACCAAAAAGGCGCTGTAGTCCCTTTGGAAACCAAAAGCTTTTGCGAGGTCGAGATTGTTCGATTCTGATTACAGTTTCGAGCATCGTTGTGGTCTTCCGGGACATGCTGATGAGTCTCTCTTGTAGTAAGAGTCCCACCATCAGACCGTATAATGGAGGTACTTGGCCATTCTGATCATAAATGACTCTACCATCGGCGTCAAATAGATGGGAGTGCAGTGCTGTAAGCTGCTGAGTGGATGTTTCAAAGTCAATCAGTGCCTCGTTCAGCAAATCCAGCGTTTGTTGGCGCTCGAAGTCGGCCGATGATGTCGACACTCCTTGAAGTGCAGACACAATGGCGTCCAGAGCTTTACCTAACGCACCCAATAAAGGCTGGGCGGTTGATGATACTACATCCAAGGTCTTTTCCAGCATCTTTTCTGTATCCGGGTGCTTGACACTGTCGCGGAGATCGATTGCTCTAGCGATGTGATAAGCGAGCGGGCGCTGTTTGTTACCTGAGTCCTTTTGGTCCTCTAGAGCCATGGCAGCTTCGGTGAGAGCACTGGCTTTAATACCCTTCTCTTCCATGATAATAAACAGCTGCAAAAGTCCGTTGAAGGCGACAGAAACTTGTCGGAGCGGGTCCTGTAGAGATTTAACATCCTCAGGGCTCCATTTACGGAAAGAAAAGTCCAAGGCCAGGAATCCGACGGACGACCCAAGACTCTTTTGCGCCATTGCGAGTTGACTCTTCAATTGCAAGAGTCGATCGAAAGTAAAGCAACTCTGGCGGTTTGCGAGCTGCCAAGTCAGAGCTTTGACAAAACCCCTCATGGGGCTCACCACGTCCGCCATGCCGTCCAGCACGATTTCTGATGTAGACTGCGGGAATATGGCAATATTGCAGAATGCACCGATACCCACGGCAATGCCAACCGGGATAAGCATGCTCTTAGGAATTGTGCCTTGGAATGTCGGGATCGTGGGAGCACTTGTGAGGTAGATATCGGCGGTGATGAGAGCGAAGATGCCGACCAGTGTCATATTAGGCGCGGCGACGCGGATGCGAGCCTAATTTCCCGTCAGCTTGCCCACGCATCGACTCAAGGCTATCGTCAGACTCACCATCAGATAGACAAACAACCCCATCATGCAGAAGTATGTTGCCGTGACTCGCACGTCAAGCAGCCGCCCCTCGAATATGGCAATTTGCAAAAAGTCGGGTTGTCCTGCGTCCGGCGATTGTTGTAATTCCTGAAACTGCCTCATCAAGTCTGCTTGAGGTCTCGTAGCCAGTGCGGCTTTCATCGTGATCGTGCCCCAAGCCCACCCGATTGCCAGGCCGACGCAGATCATCAGGCCGCTCAGGATATGGATGAGTACAACGCCAGATGGCGGCATCATGAAGAGGACGATACTATGGCTTCGATCAGTACCCCGGACAAGGAAAGAAAAGACTACACGTATCTCACCATCCAAAGAAGACAGCCTGCCCGACAAGAGCCAGTGTGGCTTTGATAAAAATGAAGAGAGTGAGTATCCAAACAGCCAAGGAGCATTTAAAAAGGATCTTGAGGTCTTTCGCGTTGAAATGATCGAGCCAGGCGGGCAGTCGTTTGGGCTGGTTGAAAGCATTGAAATGGTACTCAGCATCAGCGTCATCCTGAACGCGACTTTCCTCGTCGCATTTTGAATTGGGCTGTGCCATTCTGATTTTCGTGCACCAGCAATTGGTTTGTAAACCAGGCGTTGGCAGATTGTCGTTGTTGTCGATGTTGTTGATGGTGTTCAGTAGATGATGAAGCGCAGGAGGAGGAAAGAATCAGAGAAAACCTCGCAAAATTTGGGCAAACTCTAGAGAGACCTCAACTCTCCATTCCGACCTCTGCGCATCGGGCAATGATCAGATCCTATCCCCAGATGTTGGAGGCTTGACGGGGTTAAGAAGCAAGATCCCGAGACTAGCGTGGCGTACGAAAGCGAACGCGAGAGCGACCCACTCGAACAACAGAAAGTCGACGCCTTGGCGAGCTTTAAAGTGTGCGAGCCCATGAAGAACGCCTCGCCTCGTCTGGCCACAGCCCAAGCCTACATATACTGCGCCAACTTCTTCTTCAGAATGCGATTCTTTGATTCCCATGAGTTGATGTATGGGCTTTGCACCGAACAAGACGTGAATTGGAGGTTCGTCCCAGGTCTCACGGCCGGGCATGGGGGCCCTGGCACGAATGCGAACGCGACAGCCGTCCCCGCTGCTGTGGAAGACTAGGATCACGGGTAGTGCGACCAACCCGACTGCGTACGATACAACCTTCCTAGAAGCTTGGTTATCTCCAAGCAGTGCAATCAGCAGAAAATACCGGTGCTTGACCAGGGTGAGCTATGTGATTGGTTGCTCAACCTTGGTTTGTTCAGGCACTTATGGGTCAAGCACGTTTATAGACAAACTGCATGGCACGCCGCTTGGTGTTTCGATTGCTACGAGAGATGCCCTGTAGGCCTTATACTCTCTTGCGGGGAGGCGTAATGATCATTATAAATGCGGACGGTGATGCAGTCTTTATTCGGATGCAAATACACGTGAGCTTCGCGTAAGCTTCGCGATAGTTCATGCAGCTTCAAGCTCAAGTCTTCTGCGCGTCCCGCTCGTTAGCTGACACTGGCTGTTGTCGAATTGTGAAAACGCGGCCACTGTCAAATTTGAGTCTTAATGGGTGTCTTTGGTGCTAGCGATCAGGTAGGGCTTGTACAGGAGTCGACGCAATTTCAGAAGAGTAGACGAGGCTTTCTAGTGGGGACTCGAAGCGTATGTAGAAGAACATCTCGGGTCCTCGTTTCTTCACACTAGCTTTCCTTCTAGTTTGGCTCATGGGCGAAATCCCTCTCGTTATGTAGCTTGTCTTCACGTGCGCAATGTGAGCCCATCACTAAGTATGGATCCCCGAGATTATCAACGTCCTCCCGGAATACGACAGAGACGGACTTGCAACTCTCCAAATCTCTTTCCAAGCCCCGTGGCACAACCAGTACTGGAACTTGAAGATATGGCATGCTTCGATCTGATTTCAAAAGTCACCGTATTAGCCAAAATCACTCTGTTCTCGATACTGGGTGTTAGCACAATGCATATTTGAGTTCCTAGTCTTCCGACCTACTAATGCATGAATTTGACTAATTAAATTATCTTAGCGCAGATTTTCTTTGCAGTTTGCTCTTCTAGTTTCTGTTCCGGATCGAATACATGAGCAGTATCAACTTCTTTCCAACCGACGCTACTGTGGAAGCATATTGCTAAAGGAAATCTAAAGACATTCTGCCTTCGTTCGCCAAAAATAAGTATTTGTTTTTAAGTCCTGTATCCATCCGCTTCAGTTGCCCCGAAGAGTGAAAGAACTGCTGTGACAAAAAGCTTCAAGATGATGAGGAAGTCCTGCATTTCTCTAGACTCCTTTTGATGACAATTCGTGGAACAAAGTACTGAAAAGTTTTAGACTGAGATGTACAAGTACTGCGTCGGCCGCTAGGCTGATGTGGTGGCAGTCATACTCGTATCGCTTTCTTCGCCTTCATTCTTCTCACCCCTTTTTTAACACAGAAAGTTTCAGCTAATTCCAAAGCAGGAATGAAGTTATACTTTGTGATAGAATGTATGCGTTGATATAAAATCTGATTATTTACTATTATCCGCTAACAATTGCGTGAATGACTCTTTGAATGCAAGAAACACCATGAGCGCGTTGAAACTCCCGACTTGGTTGAGTCACGGCCATCGCAACCACAAAACCCCGACGGACATCAGAAATTTCAAAACCAACAAATGTTGGCGCCATATGTCGCGCACGCCCTTTGCGCCCTTGACGTATGCTTAAAAGCCGTGACACCCTGACGGATCCGCAAACTATTAAGTAATTTTTCCTCATTAGAGACTGAATGGTTCCATTTTTACACATCCGAACATGGGGCTCTTCCGGGGCTCCACGCTCGGCCGATCTCGGGCACATCGGTCGAAATTTTGCACAATGAAGTATTTCTACGCCGGGTGACCAGTTCGCTGGGTGTATGGCGATATGATGCTGGAGGACTAGCAGTTTCTGAGTGACCTTCTTGTCTGGCGAAGAAGGCAGTCTACGTGGTCACGACCTAGCGCAGCGTTGTGAATCAGGGTTGGCAATGTCGACAACTACGGTTGAGGTTATCAACGCTCCAGCGTCGCCTCTGGCGGAGCTTTCGGCGTCGTCGTCAATTACATCGAGACCTAACCAGCCTGTGTTTCCCGCAGAAGATGCCCAGCATGAAGACATCTCCAAGGGCAAGACGGTGGTAGTCATCTCGTCGGTGACGTGTATCACCGGCATCAGCTCCCTCTTGGCTGGTGTGGTTACCGTCTGCATCCCTGCAATGGCAAAGGATGTGAATCTTGAAGGCAACCTACTGCTTTGGTATGAGCCTTGGAGACACCCTGCCGGTGAACCATTGCTAACACCCCGTGAAGGCCTGCCTCGGTGTATGCCCTGACCTGCGGTTGCACTCTGCTCCTGTCAGGTGCGATGGCCGATCTCTTCGGAGCTCGGCAACTCTATCTCTTGGGATGCTTCCTCCAATCGGCCTTCACCCTCGCCTGCGGCTTAGCCAACACCGGAATCCAGCTGATTATGTTCCGCGCCTTCGCCGGCGTCGCGATCTCTATGTGCCTGCCATCTGCTGTCAGTATCATCACACACGCATTCCCATCAGGCAAGCGACGGAATATCGCGTTCGCCTCCATGGGCGGCGGCCAGCCCATTGGATTCTCCATCGGTCTCAGTGTGGGCGGTGTCTTCACAGACACCATCGGCTGGAGATGGGGGTTCCACATCGCGGCCATCATCAACACCGTCATCTTCCTAATCGCCCTTAAGTGGCTGCCGAGTATCGGTAAGCGCGAACCGGTGACCTGGAACCGCTTCCTGACCGAGGTGGATTGGATCGGGGCGTTCCTGGCGAGCGGCTTCCTGGCGATGGTCTCCTATGTTCTTGCGTAAGTCCAGCCCTGCGACGATCGGCAAAACCCAAAGATGAGACGAGACAAACTAACCCGCCCCTCCAGCGTCATGACCGAGAGCCTAAGTGGCATCAAGAAACCAGCCAACATTGTTCTCTTGGTCGTCTCGGGGGTCTTGATCGGCAGCTTCATCGGATGGGTCGAGCGGCAAGAGCGCCTCGGCCGCCCAGCCATCATCCCGAACTCGCTGTGGAAGAACCGCAGCTTCACCAGCATCTGCGTCAGCGTCTTCATGGTCTGGGGCGCCTTCAATGCGACCGAGCAGCTGAGCTCCTTCTACCTGCAGTATGTGCAGCGGCTCTCGGCGATCGACACCTCGGTCCGCTTCCTCCCGGCCCCGGTGGGCGGCGTGCTCGCCAATGTCGTCGCCGGGCTCGTGGTGCACCGCGTCCGGGCCGACCTCGCGATCCTCATCGCCGTGGCCCTCGCGGCGCTGTCCCCGATCCTGATGGCCGTCGCGGACCCGGCGTGGAACTACTGGTACTGCATCTTCTGGGCCATGTTCATGAACGCCATCGGCGCGGATACGCTCTTCACTATCTCGAACTTGCTGATCACCTCGCTGTTCCCGTCGAGGACGCAGGGTGTTGCAGGCGGCGTGTACAACACCATCGCCCAGATCGGCAAAAGCGTGGGGTTGGCGTCGTCGGGCGCGATTGCGAGTGCCGTGACGGCCAAGTCAGGTGTGGCGGACAAGGAGAGCCCAACGGCGCTGCTGGAGGGCTATCGGGCATCGTTCTGGTACTGCTTCGCGCTGTACGGCGCAACCCTGCTCGTGACCATTTGGGGACTCAGAAAGATCGGCAAAGTGGGTGTCAAGAAGGAATGAGAGGGTTGCTGGCGGGAACCCGGAGCAATGGGTCGAGGGACACCTCTATTCTCTCTCACCGTCGCCTCAGTCAGGGGACGGGGGCCGTTCAGTGCGAAATCCGGACGAAATACCCAAAGTTCCAGTGACGCAGCGCAAACTCTACTCTACTCGAAGCGCGTAGATGTGTGCTTGCCAAGACGACGGTGTGAATGCTTACCAAAATTTGTGAGAGCGAAACACGTCAACGGGCTGTTCTGGAATCACGTCCTAAGAAAGCTTGAGAGTCGGGCCGGGGCCAACCCAGCAGATCTTTCTCAGAGTTCGGCGTGTCGGTGCGGGGAGGACCCGCGTGTTGTGTGCGGCGAAAGCGGGCGAAGGTGGACAGACTGACTCAGCGGCCTGAGTTTCCACCAGCCGGTCGCATGCCTTCGAGAGCCCGAAGGTGTGGGAAGGGACACAGACGGGATGGGGCTGGAGATAAGGGGGGGAACAGATCTAGAATTATGAACCGTCTCATGAACTGCACGTGGAAACACACAGTGATACTGAAGAGTTGTTTCCGCTAGCCAAGTGTTAGTCTCGTAAATATGGATCTGGGCTTTCTACATTATGCATCGTGCTAAAACTGCGGACTGGCGTCATTGTGAGAGATCGGACTCTTGATAGTGATCCCGGAGCCCGACATGTTGAACTCCGACTTTACTGACTAAAGCCAGCCTGCGAAAAGGGGGGACAGAGAGGAGCCCTTTCAGTGGGAAATTGTGCTCGTACACGGTAAGCAAAGTGATCTGGCTTGTTTACATATCGCAACCCCTATCTCCCCCAAAGTCCGACGGATCCACTGCAAAACCCAGCCAAAATTCCGCAGTCGGGGAGATTCAATTGTTGGTAAGCCTCATCGCATCGGTGCGTATTTGACAGCCGCAGCAACAGCAGCAGCCCTGCCGAGAACGCGAATCTCCCGAAAGAGGGTCCGCCAGCGGAAAGTGGAAATCACTGCAACTCAAGATTTACGAGCAGTGCAGGGCAGAGAGATATACGGACTTACGGACCAAAGAGAGAAAGGGGGAACAATCCACTGCACCAGTCATATTTACGAGTGCCGTGGGCTAGTGCCCGATGGGGGGCCACCATGATGCAATCGGAACACGGTTAACACAGTTCAGGACACCTCGGCCGAATTCCAGCAGATCGCACCGCCGCAACAGGCCTAGCCAGCGACCCTGACTCGTCTCTGGGGCCGCGGCGCGGCTCCTGCGTGGCTTACGGTAAGCACCTCTCGGGGCCTTGGAGCTCCCCGACGACGGGTTGCGGACTCGAGCTGTGCCTTCAACACCCCGCCCGGACCGTAATCCATGGTGTTGGGAACGCGGGAGCGGCCAGCCTACAGACCGTGCCACAGGAGAAGACGGGACCACCCACGCATACAGATGCTCACACACATCAGACGGGCTGACATATCCAGCCCTTGCCGCAAATGGAACAGTTTCGGGGTGGTGAGAAGGGTCGTCGGGCGGGAACTACAGGGGCATGACCTCATTGCCACTTCACCGGGGCCGGCGGTCGGGCGGGTGCTCTGCGAACTCCGCACACACAGCACAGCTTGAGTCGACTGTTGACTCGGCCGCGCCAAACAACAAACTTCAGCACTGGGGAAAGATGGGCTGGGCTTGGCGGCTTGCGGCGCCTTATTCGGTGGTCCCGGTGTTGGTTCATGTCCGCAAACGCACACTTCTCTCTCGTCTTGCTTCTTTGATATAATAACACAGTCATCCCATTCATGCTATCCTTCTTGTTACTTCCCCAGATCTCATCAACAACAATCGAGTGTAACCGTCTGTGAACGTTTCAACTTACACAATACATCAACATCACACACAGATCACCAACCACACTGTTCGAAGATCAAATACTCTTAATAACACCAAGCTCACTTGAGCTTAGCCATTGGCAACACACCCCCAACCATGGCACAACAACGAACCGACACACGAGACTCGTCAGGCTCCTCAATCACAATGAACGGCAGAGCCTCATCAGATCAATGGGAGGCCAGCTTCGCCCCCATCAACACCGGCAAGAACAATGGCGACTCATCAGACGACAACGCCACCCTGTCCAGCCCTATGAGAGATACCCACCGCGACACAATGATGATTGAGGAGGAGGACAGGAGAGAGCTTCAGAGAATCGCAACCACGCTTTCACGGCGCCAGAGCGGTGCCAGCTTCGGCGAGCCTCAACTTTCAAACATCGCAACCAACGATCCCTCCCTCGACCCCACAAGCAAGTCCTTTGACCTCTCAAAATGGCTGCAGAGGATCATGCAGCAGATGTCCAACGAGGGCATCAGCATCAAGAAGGCCGGTGTCGCCTACAAGGATCTCAACGTCTCCGGTACTGGTGCCGCCCTGCAGCTCCAGCAGACCGTGGGCTCTTTCCTCGCGGCGCCGCTGAGGATCGGCGAGCACCTGAGCTTCGGCAAGAAGGAGCCGAAGAGGATCCTCCACAACTTTGATGGTCTTCTCAACAGCGGCGAGCTTCTGATCGTTCTGGGCCGTCCCGGATCTGGATGCAGTACTCTGCTCAAGACCATGACCGGTGAGCTTCACGGTCTGAGCTTGGGACACGACTCTGTCATCCACTACAACGGTATCCCTCAGAAGAGGATGGTGAAGGAGTTCAAGGGTGAGACTGTCTACAACCAAGAGGTTCGTCACTTCATCCACAATCTCATTTTTGACATGTAGCTAACGCACCTTTCACAGGTTGACAAGCACTTCCCCCATCTCACGGTCGGCCAAACCCTCGAGTTCGCCGCCGCCGTCCGTACACCCTCCAAGAGGCTCCAGGGCATGACCCGCGATGAGATGTCCAAGAAGGCCGCCCAGATCGTCATGGCCGTCTGCGGTCTCAGCCACACCTACAACACCAAGGTCGGCAACGACTTCGTTCGCGGCGTCTCTGGCGGTGAGCGCAAGCGTGTCAGCATTGCCGAGATGATGCTCGCCGGATCCCCCATGTGCGCGTGGGACAACAGCACCCGCGGCTTGGACTCCGCGACCGCCCTGAAGTTTGTCCAGGCTCTGCGCCTCGCGTCCGACTTCACCGGCAGCGCCAACGCCGTCGCCATCTACCAGGCCTCCCAGGCCATCTACGACCTCTTCGACAAGGCCGTCGTCCTCTACGAGGGTCGCCAGATCTACTTTGGCCCCGCCAGCGCCGCCAAGGCGTACTTCGAGCGGATGGGATGGGAGTGCCCTCAGCGCCAGACGACTGGTGACTTCCTCACTTCCGTCACCAACCCCCAGGAGCGCCGTGCCCGCCCAGGCATGGAGAACCAGGTCCCTCGCACGCCTGAGGACTTTGAGATGTACTGGCGTCAGTCCCCTGAGTACGCCGCCCTCCGCCAGGAGATTGAGCTGCACCAGGAGGCCTACCCCATGGACTCCAACAGCCAGGCTCTCACCGAGATGCGGCAGATGAAGAACGAGAGACAGGCGAAGCACGTCCGCCCCAAATCCCCCTACACCATCTCCATGGCGATGCAGGTTGGCCTGACCACCAAGCGCGCCTACCAGAGGATATGGAACGACATGTCGGCAACAGCAACATCTGCAGTCATCAACCTCATGATGGCTCTCATCATCGGCTCGGTCTTCTACGGTACTCCTGACTCTACTTCCGGTTTCTATGCCAAGGGCTCTGTTCTCTTCCAGGCTATCCTCATGAACGCTCTCACTGCCATCTCCGAGATCAACAGTCTCTACGATCAACGTCCAATTGTCGAAAAGCACGCCTCCTACGCCTTCTATCACCCTGCCGCTGAAGCCATCGCCGGAATCACCGCAGATATCCCGATCAAGTTCATCACGGCAACAACCTTCAATCTCGTGCTCTACTTCCTCGCCGGACTGCGACGCGAGCCTGGCCAGTTCTTCCTGTACTTCCTGATCACCTACATCTCCACCTTCGTCATGAGCGCCGTCTTCCGAACAATGGCCGCCATCACCAAGACCGTGTCGCAGGCCATGATGCTTGCTGGTGTCCTGGTCCTGGCTCTCGTCATCTACACCGGCTTCGTCGTTCGTGTTCCCCAGATGGTCGACTGGTTTGGCTGGATCCGATGGATCAACCCCATCTTCTACGCCTTCGAGATTCTCATCGCCAACGAGTTCCACGGTCGTGAGTTCACCTGCTCGGAGATCATCCCCTCGTACACCCCCCTCAACGGCGACTCCTGGATCTGCTCTGCCGTCGGCGCCATCGCTGGCCAGCGCACTGTTAGTGGCGATGCGTTCATCAACACCAACTACCAGTACTACTACTCCCACGTCTGGAGGAACTTCGGCATCCTGCTGGCTTTCCTGTTCTTCTTCATGATCATCTACTTCGTCGCCACCGAGCTCAACTCCGCCACCACCAGCTCCGCCGAGGTCCTCGTCTTCCAGCGCGGCCACGTTCCCGCCTACCTCCAGGATGGCGTCAACCGCAGTGTGTCCAACGAGGAGATGGCCGTCCCTGTCAAGAGCAAGAACAGCGAGCCTGATGCCAACGTCAGCTCCATCCCGCCCCAGAAAGACATCTTCACCTGGAGAGATGTTGTCTACGACATTGAGATCAAGGGAGAGCCCCGTCGGTTGCTTGATCACGTTGACGGCTGGGTCAAGCCTGGAACTCTCACCGCTCTCATGGGTGTTAGTGGCGCTGGCAAGACTACTCTTCTCGATGTCCTCGCTCAGCGCACTACCATGGGTGTCATCACCGGCGACATGTTCGTCAACGGCAAGCCTCTCGACGCCAGCTTCCAGCGCAAGACTGGCTACGTTCAGCAGCAGGGTAAGCAGCCTCTCCCTCACTCCCACTCAAGCTTAATTGCTAACATCTCCTAGATCTCCACCTGGCCACCGCAACTGTCCGTGAGAGCTTGCGCTTCAGCGCCATGCTCCGACAGCCCAAGACCGTCAGCAAGGAGGAGAAGTATGCCTTCGTCGAGGAGGTTATCGACATGCTCAACATGCGCGACTTCGCCGACGCTGTCGTCGGTATCCCCGGTGAAGGCCTCAATGTCGAGCAGCGCAAGCTCCTCACCATCGGCGTCGAACTCGCAGCCAAGCCCAAGCTTCTTCTATTCCTCGATGAGCCTACTAGTGGTCTCGACTCCCAGAGCTCCTGGGCTATCTGCGCCTTCCTCCGCAAGCTGGCTGACGCCGGCCAAGCCGTCCTCTGCACCGTCCACCAGCCCAGCGCTATCCTGTTCCAGCAATTCGACCGTCTCCTCTTCCTTGCCCGTGGCGGCAAGACTGTGTACTTTGGCGATATCGGCGACAACTCGCGCACTCTTCTGAACTACTTCGAGTCCCACGGTGCTCGCAAGTGTGACGATGATGAGAACCCTGCTGAGTACATGCTTGAGATTGTCAACAACGGAACCAACTCACGCGGAGAGGATTGGCACAGCGTTTGGAAGTCGAGCCAGGAGCGCACCGGCGTGTCTGCTGAACTCGAGCGCATCCACCTCGAAAAGGCCAACGAGCAGGTCGCCGGCACCGAGGAGGCTGGCGCTCACTCTGAGTTCGCCATGCCTTTCACCACCCAGCTCACCGAGGTTACCGTCCGCGTCTTCCAGCAATACTGGCGCATGCCCAACTACGTCTTCGCCAAGTTCGTCCTCGGCATCGCCGCCGGCCTCTTCGTCGGCTTCTCCTTCTACAAGGCGAACGGCACTATGGCGGGCATGCAGAACGTCGTCTTCGCCGTCTTCATGATCATCACCATCTTCTCTACCATCGTCCAACAGATACAGCCTCACTTCGTCACCCAGCGATCTCTCTACGAAGTCCGCGAGCGCCCCAGCAAGGCCTACTCCTGGAAGGCCTTCATGTTCGCCAACATCATCGTCGAGATCCCCTACCAGATTGTCACCGGCATCCTCATCTTCGCTTGCTTCTACTACCCGGTCATCGGCATCCAGAGCTCCGTCAGACAGGTCACCGTCCTGCTCTTCGCCATCCAGCTCCTCGTCTACGCCTCCTCCTTCGCGCACATGACCATCGCCGCCTTCCCCGACGCCCTCACCGCCTCCGGCGTCGTCACCCTCCTCGTCCTCATGAGCCTTACCTTCTGCGGTGTCCTGCAGTCCCCGACCGCCCTCCCCGGCTTTTGGATCTTCATGTACCGCGTCTCCCCCTTCACCTACTGGGTCGCCGGTATCGTCTCCACCCAGCTGCACGGCCGCCCCGTCACCTGCTCCGCGGACGAGACCTCCGTCTTCAACCCGCCCGCCAACCAGACCTGCGGCGAGTACCTCGCCGACTACCTCAAGATGGCGCCCGGCCAGCTGCAGAACCCCGACGCCACCGAGTCGTGCCGTTACTGCTCGCTCAGCAACGCCGACCAGTACCTCTCCGGCAGCAACATCTTCTACGACGAGCGCTGGCGCAACTTTGGCATCATGTGGGCCTTCATCTTCTTCAACATCTTTGTTGCTGTTGTGTCTTACTACCTTGTCCGCGTCAAGAAGTGGAACTCTGGCTCGTCCAAGACAAAGAAGGAGTCCAAGGGAAAGGGCCCTGCCACTCAATGAGTGCGACTCTGGAATGAATACAGAACAATGAGGACAAAAGCTGTCCAGATATAAACTCTAATAGTCTTTTACAAATTCATGTAGCGAGCGTTGCTTTTCAAGGAGGTATCCCATCATTAGTATAGAATAAACAAGACTTTCAATCATACGCTTTCTTCATTCATGTGCCCTACAATTATGCTATATGATGGTAATTCTTTCATTGCGCCAAGTTGAAAAGAAGCCTGGCGAAAGGAAGCTCGGCAATGATTCCCTGCCCAACTTGAGAACCATCAGCCCAACTCTTTCAAACACCTTGGGTTGGCAGACCGATCTCCCGAGAACCAGCACATAGGCATACTTGTCTTCGCGTCCGAAGTACCCCGTTGTCAAAAGAAAACACCAGATAGGATATTCAACCTCTTCTTGTCGATAGTGCGCACTTGCAGGCGTGCCTCGGATAGAGGTGCGGACAACCTCGCCATTCAGCTCAACATCGGCAGTCCCCAGAAACGAGTCTGTATAGAACTCCCCAGCAGGCCATTCAGTCAAAAAGTAGTGCCGGCCCTCCTGCAACGGCGGTGAATTGTGGAGATACTTTGCCGTGGCCTTGATCAGAAGGCCTTCCAGGATGACTTGCCCGGTTTCCACAGACCCAAACCGATTGATCTCAGAGGCTGGAGTGCATTCCGCTTCGATGACTCGGCACGGTTCCGTGTGTCTCAGACTTTCAACGAAAGAGGATTTCCACCAAGAAACGGCACCGTCGACGGAAGCCCAACTCCATGACGGCGCACCAAGGCATCCCCCCGACTCTTCTAACCGAGATCTGTTCCAGCTTAGATCATGAACTAGTTCCCTTCTCCACAATCCTGCGAGGAACTCGTCGTCCACCCGCTCTTGGAAGACTCGGGAGATCGCCGACAAAGCGACCAGCTTGTCCGCTTGGAAGGTAAGCTTACGCCCTGAATAGGGTGTGACAACCGATTTCCTCCATTGACGATGGAAATAATGGGCATCCTGCGTCGACGCTTTGTCTTCTTTGGCGTGTATTCCCACCGAACCCCTAGACCTCCAGCTGTTTGAACCTTCTATACCTACGTGGGATTTCCTGAGGTCGAATTCGTCGCATTCGCAGTCTTCAAGTGAGCGACAAGCCCATTGGAGCTCGAATTCGCCGAATGAAACAAAACGCTTGGCAAGGGCCCTCTCCTGGAATGCCCATCCTCGCTCAGATAATGGACCGTCAAAGTTTGCCGAGAACAGCGCCTTGCTATGGTCCAACACCGGCCGATAGTGAATTTTGCTGGATTTGCGTGGGCTCGCTGAATACGGCACCGTCACGCTGCCACGGATATGACTGCGGCGGCCCAGGAAGCCCTTCGTGCCGTCAGACGCAGACGACGCGCCCAGAACCAGATAGGCGAAGCCATAGACGTCAGCCATCCTGGCGGCTTCGTACTCCCAATCGAGAACGTCGTCTTGCACGATGCAGAGAGAGTCGATCCAGATGTATCGCATGCCCAGATATCGCGTCACGGCGATGGCGTCTTTGAAGGTTTGCGGCATGCTGCTGAGATCGATTCCGTCCTGGTGCAGCCCGATGTTTGTCTTCAGAGTTCTAAGCGGCTGAGATGGTCCCCAGCAGTGACTTAATGCAATGTACTTTTCGTCTCTTTGTGACAGGTTTGCCGTTATGACAAGTTTTGGGGGTTTGGCGGTGACATCGAGGACTCTGGTCGGCAGAGGGTGATCGGAAGGTGGGCAATCGGTGTGTGAAGTCTGGCATTTTTCTATCCAATGTTTCAAAAGAAGGAGGCATTCTTCCGAGCCAGCAGTGTCCGACATATGACAGTCATAAGGGATACCCTCCCATGGAAACCGAGAATCTAGTTCAAGAATAAGTACAACTAGCATTTATTCTGAGTTCACTTGCAGCAAAACCTTCATATATAATTGCAACATACCGGGATAGTTGTGAAAGATGATTGTCTTCCGTTCAGCCGGAGGCGTGTTCATGTCTGGCATATTGGGGCCCAGGAGGAATTGTTTGCGACCGTCGCGGGCGTTGCGACTGTACACAGCAATTTTGCCTTTGTCAAGGTCTGCAAATTCTATCGCGTGCGTTGTCTTGAGCTCGTCATGCAGAGCGACGATGAGATGACAGAAGTTGCAGTATAGGGAAGCATCGGTCCAGGTCCTTAAGCCGTGCTCACGACTTAGGTTTGCGATACCTTCTGGCTTGAAGCCGCAGGTATCACACCCATTAGTCCTGCGGCCATAGAATGGATTCACATGGCGTCTGATGTGGTCAGGAATCTGGAAGGTTGCATGTGGGTTCGGCCGAGAAGACGACATGTCGCGGTTTGTGGACGGAGCTACCGGTGGAGGAAATGGTTCACGACAGCCGGATCACATCTTTTCTTCTGGGTCAGCTGACTACATTTTACAGAATGATGTAATCCGTGGGGCTTATTGTATTGACTGGGGGGTTCGGCAGCCGAGGAAATGGTTCGACTTGTCGGTGCTCTGTGATTGAGCACCAACAGGACTGGGGCTTGCCAAGCTGGGGTTCTCATCGCCGAATTTCGTAACCATCATGCAATTGACTGTACACAACATCACGAGATCATATGAATATATTTGTTGGGAGTACGATTCAAGGTCACCAATGCCAAACTGGGCAGACACCGTACACCAACAAAGGTAATGATGGGGTAAAATCTGAGGCTTGATTCATGGTTGACAAAGTTAGTTGAGACAGACTTCACTTGTCAGATGACACTTACCTCACCTGCCCTGCGAATGCTTGATTTGCCAGATGACTTACCACTCAGTCTCGCAATATCACGGTGGCATCAGAGACGAGATATTCGAACCATCAAATCACCAGAATTCACCAGCAAGTTTACAGCACCACATGAGAGCTAGCGCACGGCGCAGTCTCATTTTTTAGAGGTCTTCGACGCTGGGCTGTCTCAAATTACATCTTTTGAACTCCACCATCGCCATCCCGGCATAAGTTGTCCCGTACGAAGCTATTCCGTAGATTCCCACAGAACTATTCACGTCTACACGGCATCGCATCTATTTGCCGCCCTTCTTGGCCTGTGATTGCATCAGTCTCAAATTCTGATACTTTTATGGCATGTGTAGAGACTTACGGCTTGCTTGTTCTTCTCATTCTGCTTGCGGCCGTCCTTGAACTCGCCACCAAGCTTGTTGAGGGTGGCGTTATCCTTCTTAGGGTTGCCCGTAAGGCCCTTGGCTTGCTTGGACTCCTTGGCTTGGGCACCTTGAACCTAAAGTTCCAAAATTAGTACCGAGATCGCATCGTTCGCATTTCCGAGATATCTCACCTTCTTCAGGCCATCGTTCAGTTGCTTGTTCTTAGGGTCGGCGTTCTTCTGGTTCTTTGCGCGTTGATTCTGTCCAGCCTTAATGTCCTTTTGAAGATTGGCCTTCTCCTTGGGGAAGTTCTTGGTTCCCTCGGCCTTCTGCACCTTCTTGACGTCCTTGGACTCGTTCTTCTGGATGTTGATGTTCTTGTCGATGCCCTTGACCTCCTTCGAGGTTGACTTGGAGCTACCCTTGTTGCCGCCACCCTTCTTGCCACCGTTATTGGCCCGCGCCTCAAGTGCCTCGAGAGCTTCTCCGTCTGCCTGTGCCGGTACTGGCAGGGCAGCAACGAAGGAGAAGAAGAGGAAGATGGAGAGGATGAGCTGAGTGAAACGCATTTTGAAAGGCCTTTTTTTTATTTTTTAGAAGGACTGAATGGTATTAATAATAGACCAATAGGATTATTTGATGAGGGACCAGCCGGTGGATGCAAGACGTGAAAGACGTGAAAGTCTGATGAGAATAGAAGGCAGTCCCGAGGAGATGGGCGATTTCCGGTCCATATATGTAGAGAATCCGTTGACTGTCCCGAGATCACCATTTGCGAGTCATCATCTCTAATGGAGGAGCACATGCGCCGTTGTCCGAGGGACATCGAGCCATCTGGCCATCACCCACCGCAGGATGGCTCCGAGTCCTTCAGCCGTGATGCTTTCGAGATCGTTTCGCTCTTCCGTGATTGAAGCTCCCGGAGTGTCGCAACCCACACAGCGATTGCGCCCGCTCTCTCGTCCGAAGTCAGGAAGTATTGACAAGCGACAAGCTTTTGGGTGGAGTCGAGACGAAGAAAGTTTAGCCGCACATGTGTTTTGGGCTGAACCTAGATGCCAAGGCCTGTTTCCCTTTCTAAGCTTTCGGGACATTATTCCACTTTAGATGCCAAGATACGTGGCTCTCTCGCTCGGCCGCGATTGCGCTGTTTGACGCGAACCTGTCCGTTCATAGGGTGCAACAAGGCAGGAGGAAACAAGCTTGGCTGGATTCAAGATGGAAGCCACACTAGGGCCAAGTTGGAGATAACTCTCTGCGAAGCGGGAAGTAAACTGAAGATGACACGCTTCATCCCAATGACCTAGTAGAAAGCAATCTGAAATCCGGTCGCTTCGCACAAACCGAGGTTTACTTCCCATCGAGGAATCACGATGACCTGCGGCATGTTGCGAGAGTCAGAATTTGCTCATAGAGAAGGAGGTCACGGGGGCAGAATCAGTTCATTCCGGCTACCGAGGCCGTGGCGCCACAAAGTCGCCGGTCGACTGGGACGAACTCTGCAGATCAGGGCGATCATATCAGGGCAAAAGATGCCTCCTGTGTGGTCCGTCAGACCGCATTCGTAACATGAGGCCTACGTCGGGCTTCTCCAAACGAACAACAGGGCACCCTCCACATGGGCCCCCGAAAACGAGGCTCCACATCCGCACCAGGACAAAGTGAGTAGCGGATGCTCATCCGGTGTCTGGCAGACTGTAAACACGCTACTCGCGGCTCCCACCGCCCTGCAAGGCGTGCGGCCGGCCTCCACCTTTTCTCCGCGTTGCCGCCTTCCCCGCGGCAAGGTGGAGTAAAGAAAGTTTAAGCTATCGGGACTTGACATAATTCTCGCGACATAAACTCCTGACTAGTGCCGAAAGCCCTAAGCTTCTTTTTCATCGTTGTTTTAGCCATGTTGGAGGATTAAGCTTATCGCCTGCTAACTTCTTATGACGCTGCAATGCAGGAAGGAGTAATTAGGCAAGTGAATTAGAGTCCGACGTTGAGTCCTTGGTGCCCTTAACCAGGGTGTGTCCTAGGTGATCTACCGATCATCGTCTGAAGATTGTGCTCACGACAATGTTACAACATGATCTCCGTCCGTCCAAACAACACCGCCAAGAAAGGTCCGTCGCCAAGAGCTGCCAATGATGTGCCGTTCACTGCACCGTCGATCCCTCTCCGAGCGCTCGGCTCCGTTGACGAGTCAAACATATTCGTTCGCATTATTCTCTCATTACAAGCCATGACTAAAACGCCCTTACTCGTGAATCCGATCTGGCCTGTTCATTGCGCGTCAACCAGCACAAAAGCAGGTCTAGCCGTAAGTAAGGCGTACCGTCTCATCACTTCCCCCCGTTTCAAGCGCGCGCGCGTTCAAGGTTGAGGGCCACCCCGGCGCTAGTCGGAGCTTATTAACGAGCGTTGAGTCTCAGGACAACGGGACTGCAACTTCCCGCGTCTGTCTCATGCGCAACATTCTCAAGGCGCTCAAAGCAACGATGCGGGCAGAGTTATAATTTGAGGCTTGCTGCATAGTACGTGCAGGCGGCAGATCACCATCCCCCTTTCGGCGTGACGCGTGGTCGGAAATACGGCAAGCTGAGTCCCACTTGTGCCGGGTCATCCCAACTATGTGCCGGCGGCATTTAGATAACTTCCGGATATGTCCTTCAGGGTGTGCAAAGCTGCTAAATCCTAACTTGAGGCACATTACGCTTCGTCGACACGGTCAACCTCACGAATATTCTGGTCCAGACTCTTCCGATCATCCGCCTTCGCTTGTTGGCTGTGAACCTGGCGATCACCTTCATATCCACTAAGGTGAAGAGTTAGTTGGTTGCACCGAGATGTGTTCAGTCTTTGGAGGAAGCAGATGAGAACATACAATAGCGCATCCATCTGGTCGATTGTGACACCCTTGGTCTCAGGAAGAAAGAAGAATGCCCAAACGGTGGCCGTGAGCATCCAGCAGGCAAAGAAAAACCATACGCCGTAGCTGAGACTACTAAAGATGTACGGCAATGCTTTCGTGATGATGAACTGAATGAGCCACTGCGTGAAGGCCGCGAAGGTTCCCGTAAGATTTCGAAGAGCGCCGGGGAAGATCTCAGCCGAAACGATCCAACTAGGAGGAGTTAGTATTGCCGTCACGCAATTGCATCTAGTCGCGACTTACGGAATACCGTTGAGACCGAAGGACCAACTAGGGTAGCACGTGTTAGCTTAATGTTAATTCTTTATGCAATTTAAAGGGCTGAAGTTACGACTTAGAGATGAAATAAACTCACAAGACGGAATAAATCATAATAGCCGCAGTAGCAGCTTGGCCACCTGATTTAGTGGATGACGAGAGTTCACCACCTGCAGCAATGATCGGGGCCGGGTTTCCGACCTGCAGCTGTTAGAGCCTAAAACAGGCTTTGGTGATCTTCCAGAAGAAGCTTACCTTTACATAAGCACCGACAAACCACAAGCAAAGTGAACACGCCAGTGAAGATATGATGGTGGGTCGACGACGACCCCAAATGTCGATGAGAGCTCCATAGAATATGATAGAGGCGACGGCCTTGACCAAACCATAGATTCCAGTGTACAAAGCCACATCAGAGATACCGATAGAGCCGAAGAGTGTTGGAGAGTAGTAGTTGATAGCTGACAGTTTGTTAGAGACTGTCGATTTCGGCATGAAACGCGACAAATGTAGAGAAAATCTGTGGCTAGGAATGCTTCAAACTTACCTGCGGCACCAGACATGTTCTGTAAAGTGAAGGCAACGAACACAAGCAAAAGGCGGTTCCACATGCCCTTTCGCGACAGCTCAGACAGAGAGCCGCGGATGTATGCCCAGAACCCGTTACCATAAGCCTTCGCGACAGCCGCTTCCTCCGCAAGTCTCGCGCGGATCATTTCAACCTCTTCTTGCATGTACTGATGGTCTTCCGGAAGATGTCGGAGCGCCACGAGGACTTTGGCTCCCTCTTCCTCCCGTCCCTTTCTGTAAAGCCACAGCGGCGACTCGTGCAGGAAGAAGCCTCCGATGAGCAAGCCACCTGCAGGGATGAGCTGGACAGCCATGGGCAGGCGCCAGGACGCGGAGCTGTTCGGGTTCATGTTTTGATTGATGCCGTAGTTGATCCAGAAACCGATGAGAGAGCCGGTCTGGTATGTGACTTCAAATAAGCCGGTCAGTATACCACGGATGGAGGGAATCGACAGCTCGGCGATGTAGGACGGCACAGTCGCGGTGATAACGCCGCAGCCCCAGCCGGTCAAAGCTCGGCCGGCATACATTGATGCTAAGTCATTCGTGGCAGCGACCATGGGAATCGCGCCTGCGAGGAAGACCAGATTGCTGATGATAAGAGCCCATTTACGGCCGACATACTCGGTGACTTTGACAATTAGCTTGGTTCCATCACTGCGAGATAGCTACGACTTCATACTGAAGAAGCACATAAGCGCGCCGCCGAGCGCGCCAGCCTGGAAGGCCGACGTGATGTTTGACGATATCTCTTTCGACGTAGCCGAAGTGATGCCGAAGTCTCTCACGAAACTAGCTCGCGCGATTGTTGTTCCGATAAACGCCGAGTCGTACCCAAACCTGGGAAACAGTGTCAGTGAGGCGCTTGGTCTTGAGTCTTCGCCGCGAATAATTTGGACCAGCAAGCTTGGGAACATACAGCAGGGATCCTGTCGCAATAATCGCAGACTCAATGTAGAGGCGCCAATTGTACACCTCCTTCGGCGTGGGCCGATCCTCGACCGCGCGAAAGCCGCCCATCCTGCGTTGCTATTGGTGAGCCCTAAGAGGCTGGCTGGGTTGGTTGAAACGTTGCGACAAGCTTCAAAGATGTATGCAAGTCTGTTTTAAGCTTTGAAGACCTTGGCCAGCTGCATACAATCACACGCGCATTGCAGGAAAGAAACAAAAAAAAGTGAGCGAAAGCAGGAGAAGGTTCCGAGGAAGACGAGGTTCATCCTCGATTTCCGTTACTTATCCCCGCAGAAGATCACCCTTCCCCCCGTCCCACACTCGGTCCACGGGTGCGGGGGAAATCTGGGGAATGGCGCGCCTGCCTCGCGGGCCTGGCACTCTGGTTTTGGAGATGACCGGGGTTTGTATGGGCGCGCACGTCGCCCTCATTAACCCGACACCGACGCATTTCCAAGGCAGAGTTGCACCAATGGGGCCGATCTGACCCGAGGAACAGGGGAAGCTGGTGAGGAAACGGCGTGGCAATTGGAGAAGGGCCTGGCGATGGTGGGGTTGTTGGAGCTGAGTGCCCTTGGGATTGGACAGTTTGATCACGTTCCTGGCTCGGTGGCTGGGGTGATGGGCGAGAAAATCTCGGTCGAGCGGTGAGGACTTCAAGGCAAAGCGTTCACCCTGAATAAGGTACGCTCAAACATTCTCAAAGTAGTTGAACATGATCAGCTCAGTTTCGATGTTGTCTTGATATCAAATGATCAACTAGAATTGAGTGCCAATTGCTATCTTCCCAGACCTCTAGTAATAACAATAGCTACATATACTATGACATGAAACTAACAATAATCCATGAAATTCTTCACCTGATTGAAAGAGAGAAAATACAGATTGCTTCCCATGTTGTCTGATTTGAGGTTGGTTTGTCAACAACCCTGCTCACCTTGAAACGCATCCCCGGTGTCCTGGTCTCCACCCCCACTTGCCTTCAATACCGTCCCGGAGAAGTTCCGAACTTAATGCCAACGCTTGTTCGTGATGTAGGTACAGCAAAAGCACGTGGTAGTGTTGATCGTATTGTTTAGTCGTCGACACGTCCTTGTATTGGGCAAATGCCGTCCCAGTGGATCCTACTACATACAAACAGCAGACAGAACACAATAGAGAGAAACGAGACGAACTTTTTCGAGTCAAACCCCTCCTATCCTCAAAAATGATGATCTGAGTTTCCCGTGGTCCGGGGAGCGGAGTTATTACTACGTAGTAATGAGAGTCTAAGGCTCCAGTCAGAAGCGTACTAACGCCCGGAGCGCGACAGTCGACCTTCAGCGAGTGGCGAAAAGGACCTGGTCTTCCAGGTGATGCCATGCTGCCTGATTTCTTACTCCTCCTTTCTTCTAGCGACGTGGACAGCTGGTACACAGAGCAGCGCAGCTTCCAAACAGATACTCAACCCGCTAAAGTGCTGACCGCGGCTATAATCATTCGTCGCAGTATCGACAAGAACTCCCGCAATCGGCGCGCCTATCAACGCCGCAAACGCAACAAAACACCACACCATCCCCGTCCTAGCCCCGACGACATTGGCGTACGGCGCGAGCCTCGGCACAACAGCATTCGGCAATGCGACAGCGATCCCGGACATGAACCCGACTGAGACGCCCCAGATGGTTATGCCCGTCACATCACGGATGCCAATCCACCCCAGGATGAGCGCTCCGAGACTCAGGCACCCGACGATCAGGACCCACACGGGCCCGATGGTGCGGACTTGCGCGATCCACGCGGGGAGGATGCGTCCGGCTAGGGAGCCGGCGTTCATGTATGCTAAGAGGTAGAATGCGAAGTCAGCGCTTGTGCCGAGAGAGCTGGGCGTAGGGGCGACGATGAAGGGCGGGATCCAGTAGCCGAGCTCGACGAAGAAGAGGCCGAGGCAGAAGAAGAGGTAGGGTATGTCATTCAGGGCCGAAGAGTCTAGCAGCTCGCCGCCTCGCCTTCGGGCAAGATTTGGGATGGGATCTGGGCGGAGGAGGATGAGGGCGAAGAGGGAGGTGACAAGGACCAAGATGCCGAAGATGCGGTTGACCCAGGGAAATCCCATGCGCGGCTCGAGATTTCGGAAGAGAATGGGGAAGAGGACCCCGCCTACGGCTGATCCGGTTGCTGCGATGCCGGTGGCGATGGGGCGCTTAGTGGTGAAGGCATTGGAAACGATGGAGACGCCAGGTACGTAAAGTAAACCACTTCCTAACGTTGCATCAGCTTAGGTACCAACAATGATTGACTACTTGCCGATACCAATGCAAACACCTTGCGACAGAACTATGTGAAAGTACCCGCTTGCCAAGCTGAGCATGAAGAAGCCAAACACGACGAGGAATCCACCGAAGGCGAGCAGACTTCTGATGTATCCGCTGTCGTATAGAGGACCTGCAAGGATACCGGTGAAGCCTAGTAGACAGACTAGGGTAGTGCCGATCCATGATATCGCCGAAGGCGAGCTTGACGCGAGTTTATCGGTCTGATATTACGCCTGGTAGGCACCGTAAGTTGACGCGATGCCATAGGTGTTCATGAAAATGAGCCAGGAGCCCCCAACTTTTAGCCAGGCTTTGCCTCCATTTGGGCAGTTGGGAAATTGAGAGACTGTGTTTGAAGCTGGTTCTTGTGTTGTGTCGGGGACTCCCTCGGTGAGGGTCCTTAGCATGATAGTTTCGGGTTCTGCGGAAGCCATGGCGTGGTCAATCTTCAGTAATGGTCTTGAAATTATTTCTGAGACGTCGCGATAGACGTCGAATGTATCTTCTAACTCGGACTTGCCAACGGGATGACGGGACGTCCCATGCTAGCCACGTGTCGCCGCAGGTGATAAGAGATCCGCTGGCACGAGCAAGCGGGGTAATGCGGCATTCCACCGTCATGATCTTCAACCTGCATAGTCGGGTGTCATTGAGTGCAACTGAGGAGAATGAGGCTCTGAAGTTTTATCCGAGTCCGTAAAGGCAATATCGCTTCACTCCGTGGACTCCGTGGACTGCGGTCCGATGCCTGCATTTAGGGCGGCTTTTCAAGACTGCTTGTCGGTTTGTCATGCACGTCTCCCTGTGGTTTGCTTCTACTTGTTTTGGTGAATAATTATTTTGCCAAGGCATCTGGCTATGGCGGACATGTCCATTTGGAGTGTACGACTTTGCCAGTCGTGCTAGTAACTGCAAAAGTTTCTTCACGCAAGCCTGCTTATCCATGGTCAAGTTCACAAAAACATGAGATGTTTAGCACAGTCGACGATACTACGACGATGAAACCCGTCACGTGGACTGCAAATATACGGAAACGCACGGAACTTGGAATGGTGATCCGGCGAAGGCTTGCGGATTGTCGAGCGGAAGACTCGGCCCCGGTGATGCGGGCCGCGCGAAATTGTGAAAAATGCGGGTATCGGCCCCACTCGACCGATCGAAAACCGGGATTCCGCTTCCAACTCGCGGAAATGACCGAAAGCTCCGAGATTGTAGCTTTTGGGTTCGCACGCACTCCGCGGGCGGAAAACACCTCTTACTTACTGAGAGTTCCGCCCTTGACGAGAGAAGAAGAAGAAATCAACAGGTTGCGGAGATGCGTTCTTCCGTCGGCAAACCCGGGGTTTCTCGCCCCCTCTCCCTGTCACCGTGATTCCTCATCATTGTCGAATGCCGACAGACCGACTCCAGAACCATCGCTTCGCATTAGCGACAAAGCTGCTCAGGCTGGCTGGCGGAACTGATGAGTAAATATAGCGAGAATTTGACAGCTCGTGATGGCCATCAGCTCACTAGCATTCGTTCTGGAAATATTCTTGCTTGCGCTCATGACCAACAAAACCTGACTCTGCATCCCACTGTTCCCCCACACTGCCTCCGCAAACTCATTTTAATGCCTCCGCAGAACTCTATTGCCCCCAGTGGAAGTCGTCCGAACACAGCACGAGCTTGGGCCAGAAACCACCCGATTGACTGGTACGAACGACGCAAACAAGACGCAGTTAAGAACAGGGTGCTGGCAAATGTACCAAGGTCGGCATGGCATGGCGCGTGACAGCCCCCAAAATTCGCACCAGATCCAACGAGATCCATCTAGCGGCGGGGCTGGTCTGGCGATTCTTCGGCCGTTTAACCTTGCGTCCCCCCCATGTGTGGTAACAGCGAGCAAAGCACCGCTGGAAATTGCAAATCCCCACGAAGTCATGCGGGCCATGTTGGAGTTGGTCGGTTGGCTACGCGCCTTTCGGGTTACCGGTCTGCTTCTTCTTGCGCATCGCAGCAGTGGCTAGCCAGTCGGACGACGAGGCCTAGCCGGGACAGAGACTTTCGGGGAACGAAAGACGTGCAGCTATGCTGCATGCTAGGTTGCTTATCATGCATCGGAGAGCACGGTATGAGGCCAAGAAACAAACGCCCTGGCCAGCCCGTTTGTTTTTTCTCCCCCAGTCCATCCGCACGAGGAGTTTCAGCGAACTATGTCCCGACCGACCCCCGCGACTCCGCATCTCCCGCAATTTCTCCCTCCTTCAACACCACCGACAGTGCCACTACCCACCGCCGCCGGGGTAGCGCGTCTCCAGTCCGGCTTGGCCGCCCCGCGATTCCCATCCCCATACCAGCGACTTCCCGACCGCGTGGTGCAGTTCCTTTCGGCCCGCAACTTCAGTCCAAGGGACGACCTTCTCCTTGGCTCGTGTGCCATAGTAGGCAATCTTCGACTAGCCATCGTCAATTCGTCATGACCAGCTTCGCCGAGCCGCAGTAGCCCGGGATCATGACTCTGTATCCTTGCGTCTGACGGCGGAGACTCAATCTTGGCTCGGCCCTGGCTGACGTCGTATCGACGGCCTGCCTGACGGCCTCTTCCCCGGGTGGAATGGGAAATGGATGGGGTCGGATCGTCTGATGCGCGCCGCCAGATTCGTTGGTATATAAGATGAACCGCTCACGGTTCACCGTCCAGAATGTCTGGGACGTCAAGCGGCGGATTTACCAGTCTCTACAGCACAGCATGGCAATTCTCAAGGGTAGCGCCGTCTTCACGGCCATCGCGTCTCTCGGGGCCATTGCGGTCCCCGCGGCGGCGACTGCGCCGACGACCATCACGTCCGAGTACCTCGCGACGGCGGGCAACAACACCCTCTTCACGCGCTGGAGGCCGCGCTCGCACTTCCTCGGGCCTCACAGCTGGATGAACGACCCCTGCGGCGCCGTCTACGACCCGGCCACCGAGACGTACCACCTGCACTACCAGTTCCATCCCAACCACGTCAACTGGGGCAACGTCTCCTGGGGCCATGCCGTCTCCAAGGACCTCTTCCACTGGACTGACGTCCGCGACTGGACCAACGACTCGTCCGTCTCCATTGCCGCCGGCAGATACCCCTCCGGCCCCCTTTCTCAGTTCACCGGCACCACGCAGGTGGTCAATACCGAGGGCCAGAACGACGGCACCCTCCTGACGTTCGGCACCGGCATCCACGCCTTGCCCACGAACTGGAAGCAGCCGTACATCACCGGCACCGAGGTCCAGGCCATGTTCACCTCCGACGACCACGGCGAGACCTGGCAGGAGGTCGGCACCGTCATCTACGGGCCCCCCGAGGGCTGGAACGTCACCGGCTTCAGAGACCCCAGCTTCTTCCCCTCCACCGACCTCGACGCCCTCCTCCAGGTCGCCGAGCCCCACTACTACATGGTCCTCGGCTCCGGCCTCAAGACCGGCGACGTCCCCGCCACGCTCCCCGGCGCCGCCCGCCCCGGCTTCATCGGCCCCCGCATCCCCCTCTACTCCGCCCCCGCCTCCAACCTGACCGAGTGGACCTTCCTCGGCGCCCTCTGGGAGCCCGCCGCCAACTCCTCCCTCGGCGCCCCCGACGTCACCGGCTCGTACGGCTACAACTTCGAGGTCAGCAGCTTCTTCGACCTCGCCATCGGCAACTCCTCTGACAAGGCCTGGTTTGTCTCCATGGGCGCCGAGGGCGGCAACACCACCTCCCACTGGAAGGAGCAGTGGGCCCTCTGGAACCGCGGCGACATCGCCCGCCGCGACAACGGCTCCGTCGAGTTCACGCCCACCTCCGGCGGCGCCCTCGACTGGGGCATCTCCTACGCCCAGGCCACCTGGAAGGACACCCGCTCCTCCAACGGCCGTCGCGTCATGTGGGGCTGGGCCAACGAGGACATCGCCTCCGACTACGCCTTCAACACCTCCAAGCAGCTCGGCTACCAGGGCGCCATGAACCTGCCCGTCGAGCTCTTCGTCAAGGAGACCGCCGGCGTCGTCAACTGCGGCGAGCAGCAGGACGGCTCCCACTGCATCGAGAGCTGCAACGGCTACACCGCGCAGACCCTCGGCCTGCGCCCGCTGCCCGACGTCATCGCCCTCCTGCGCGAGGGCGCCGCCGAGCAGGACATTGAGGTCGGCGAGCTCACCGACGCCTCCAAGTCCGTCGCCGCCGACCTCGGCTCCTCGTACGAGCTCACCGCCACCCTCTCCGGCGCGGACCTCCTCTCCGGCCCGGCCGGCATCGTTGTTGCGCAGAGCCCCGACGACGCCGAGCGCACCACCATCGTCTTCGACCCCGCCGCCTCCGAGATCCGCGTCCTGCGCGACCGCAGCTCGCTCCTCCCCAACTTCAACAACGCCACCTTCGTCGGGCACTTCCAGCCGTACGAGATCCACGCCAAGGGCAGCAACACCACTGCCACCGAGGACCTCAACTTCCATGTGATCCTCGACAACTCGCTGCTCGAGATCTGGGTCAACGAGCGCTTTGCGCTCACGGCGCGCATCTACCCCTCGCGCAACGATAGCACTGGTCTCAGCTTCTTCGCGGGTGACGCAGCGCAGCCCAGCGGTGCGAAGGCGAGCTGGACGGACGTCAAGGTCTGGAAGGGCCTGGCGCAGGCGTGGCCTGAGAGGCCGGAGGACACCAGCGTGCCGTTGGTGTGGGATACCGCGGAGCAGACGAACAACTACACGTGGTGGGCGGGATACTAATGATGCATCCTGGGAAGGGCCAGGCATGATTTAATGCATGATTTAGACGTAAAAGTAATCTTTATAACTTAAATACAAGTATTTGACACAATGCTCTGAACATCTTCATATCTGTAATAATGCAGCAAGGTGAATTATGGTGCACTAAATTCCCTTCAGGTCGATAGACTGGATGTCGCTGGCTTCACACGCACTTCCTAGCAGAAAAGCACGGCAACGAAAAAAAGTCAATCCGCATACACGACGAAAAGGAAAAAATGAAAGGGACGAGACTCGAACTCGCGCGGGTTGCCCCACCAGGAAACAGATGTTAAGCTGACCTTAACCTGGCGCCATAACCAACTCGGCCACCCTTCCGTGTGGTGATCTTGGTGATCTGTTGTTGTGTTCGGTGCGACGGCAAGATCGCCATAAGCCCTAGGGTGGAGCCACGCAAACGCTGTGTCTAAGCTGTGGTTAGCGTGGAGGAGCAGGCCTGGAGGAAAATGTCCGAGTGGAACCACGATGGCGGTGGCCGTTGCCGCTAAGCCGGTAGCTGAAGGTGGGAGGGAGGCACTATGATTGTTGTTTCTTGGTATAACAGGTTGTTTTGGCAGGATTAGCTCGGTGAGGTGTTGGATCGGCTGGTCCAGGCGTGAGGCTGGTCTCCAACCCCGCGGGTGAGGCTGGACTAGTCATGGTTGTCTGTCTCGGAATGTTGTAAGGGATGAGGGCGAAAATATAGAAAGAGCGCGGACTTACATGGCCTCCACTTCGTCGAGAGCGCAGTCCACGACATCCCCACGAGGATGGTCTCCGTTGATGATATGACTCCCGAATGCAGTAGCCTGGCTCTAGTCTCTCGAGACAAACACGAAGAGAACAGCCAATGATCGCCCCTATCGAGCTCGGATGATGTTCAACTTCCCTAATTTTCAGGGATCGAACGTGCGGTGCGGCCTCTCCCTTCTGCATCAGGAATGCAGCTGCAGCAGCTGCAACAGCAGCCGTCAAACAGGCAGGCGAGAGGATCCAATCATTCGGTAAACAGGTGTCATTCCTTCCCGCGTAGCCCATCCATGTGGAGATCTTCCGCGTGTGATCATCGCCATCTCCCTGTCGGAGCACCAATCAGTGCATGCGCGTCTCGTGACGTCATGAGTCCGTTGCCCAAAGCGGAAAGCTGTTGCCAGCTACGCGCTTGACGTCGGCGGCGGCTGGATCTAGACCTGGGCCCGAACCATGCTTTTGGAGCTCATTGCAGCTTCAAAATACGAGGGGCTCCCTGGCTTTTGCATTCAGGACCCCCCCTTTGGTCTCCATCCCCAACATCCTGCACACACCATGTTCAAGGGACACTCAACAGAAGACGACGAGCAGCTGGCGGCGCAGCAACAGCCGCCGCCAGCAACTGCTGCAGCAGCACTCCAACCAATCGTAGACCCGTCAAATACGCCAACTCAATCGGACTTTAGCTACTCGAGCCAATCTACGATGGGACAGGAACCGGAGATCGTGGAGGCACATGAGGACGAGAGGCCCACGGACAGCCACCACCTTGCAGACATGGCGACCAAGGAGACACCAATCGAAGAGAAGGGACATGCACAGATGGACCACAACGAGGTCGAGGTCAAGAACTTGGGCTGGAACACCCACGCCAAAGAGGTCGCGCAGCCGATGGTTGGTGGCTTGTCAAATGAAGAACTTTGGATCCTCGTCCGACGTTTCGACAAGGTAGGGCCTGGATACACGCTATGACTGAATGTTGTGCCATTGGTGGCCGTTACTGATGTTTCCCTAGCAAGTATTCCACGTCAAATCGATCCCAGAACCCCCGGTAAGCTTCGTCCAATGATCCCATCCAACCCTCCCCGGTTTAAGGTTCTGACACCCTGCAGCTGGCATCTCTCGACCTTAACATTGCAGACGAGGAGGAGTTTTCGCCCGACAAACTTCGCGCCCACGTCGAACGCCTGTACATGACAGTCATCGTTGGCGCATTCTCATTCTGGAAGCACATCGTTCGCATCCGATCGTGGCGCGAGTGGAAGCGCACTTCGGCCTTTCTGTCCGTCTACACCGTTGCATGGCTGCTTGACTTTGTTATCCCCGTTCTCGTCAGCTTCCTCATTGTCCTTGTCTTAGTTCCCGAAGCCCGCACCTTCTGCTTCCCTCCCGCTCCCGCATCCCTCATCGATAGCAAGACTGGCGGCGTCAAGAAGCCCGCTTCAGGCGTCCTCGCTTCCGACGACTCCATCACGGGAGCCCCCGAGAAGCATGCAGGCGAAGCCGTGGAACAGGAAGCGCACAGCTTCGTGACAAGCATCTCATCGCTGGTCATCAGCACCGCGGCGGGCAAACATCCTCAAGGCGATCCCCACACCGACACTGCTGCGCCGGACCCTACTAATATCACTGAAGATGTCGTCAACGCCAAGGACAAGACCGGCGGGGCTACGTCACCTACTCACCACGACAAGACCAAGAAGCCGGTCTCTGAGACGGTCTGGACCCAGGCGAGGCCTGTGATGCATGCTATTGCAGATGTGAGTAGACATGTATGCCAGCTTTGGTGCAGGCATATCTGATTTGTTCAAAGTTGGTTGATACGTACGAACGATTTGGAAACGCCCTCAGCCCGACACCACCGTTCCCCCAACAACGGCCCCGACTTATCCTGGCCAGCGTCCTGCTCCCCATGCTCCTCGGATCGCTCTTCACAACTTCCTACATGCTTATCAAGGGAACCGGATTCATCGTCGGCTTTACCTTCTTCGGCGACCCGATTATCCAAAGAGGCCTGGTGTTCATCAACCGGTCAGTCTTCCTGTCAACTATGATTGCTCGCGTGTCTAAAGTATGTCCATGTCCAGCACCTACCCTCATTGGAAAAAGTATGTTGAATTGCGAAACACCATTCTCAAGGGCATTCCCACAAATGCCCAGCTTACGATCACGCTGCTCCGTATCGGTGAGAGAAACAAGGCGCCCCTGCCGCCGCCGCCCGTGTCTTCGACGCCCCCTCCTGATGAGCCTCACGCCACTGCGGGTCAAGGCCTAGAGCATCTTGGTAAGTTCCAGCGGCGTCCTGCTCAAACTCAACGACTCACGAACTTACAAGGCGTCGACCAAGACGAGATAGACGAAGCCATTCAGCCCGACGAGGTGGCCCTTGCCCCGGCAGAGTCGGAGACCGAGGAGCACAAGCAGAAGAAGGGCCACCGGATTTTGAACTTTATCAAGAGTACCGCCAAGGGCGGAATCAACACCACACTCGCAGCGGACAAGGTCAAGGCCAAGGTCGGAGCCAAGCACGCAAAAGACCGCCTCGGCGTCGTCAAGAAGCAGCCCGATCCTGAGAAGGGCCCGATTAGTTTCCCGGCGAGATACAAGGGTAAGCGGGGTCACGCATTCATCACAGCTACCGCTACGACTCCGGCGTTGAGTTGGACAACGGAGGCGGAAGATGTAAAACCTGTGTGGTCTGTCGCTATTGGGGATATCCAAGTAAGAATTTGCTCCATAAAGCTGATGTCGCCACGTTCTAATATGGTTTCACAGGAAATCCGCAAGGTTGGAGGTCTCGGATGGAAGTCCAAGATCTTTGTGGGGTGGGCGACTGATCGTGAGATTGCCGATGGACTCATCATCACTGATACCATGGGCAAGGAGCACCATCTCACTGCGATTGTCACCAGGGATGAACTGTTCAACCGGCTGGTTGCAATGGGGGCCCAGATGTGGGAGGCATGGTAGTCGAAAAGGAATGACTTATGATGATCAGAGAAACGATAAACGTGTACGAGCATATGTAATTTGAGCGAATTCAACAGCTTCACCAAACTACTTTTAAAACTACTCCTTATCATTCTACAGACACGCTTCTTGTGTGCTATGCATATGCACCAACCAGATGCCCACGTTGTTGCCAGTCCCCCGATCTCCTGATCCCTCGAGGCAATATACCTAGGTATCCGGGTGTCTCAGCTATCGGTAGACGTTTGAGCATAGTCCTAGCAAGTCAGACCAAGCTTGGAAAAGATAATTCGGGCAGTCAAAACGACATTGTGGCGTCTGAAACACCCATTTTTCCGGCCTGGGGAGACTCGGAAGCAGCCCTACGTTCAGCAAGTGCCCTGCTGTCTGCAAGTCTCTCATTGAGACCGTCGGCAATTTCGCGCTGCCGGTTGCTCCACGGGAACAAGGCGTGATGCGTCAGTGAGGAGATCGACGGACACTTCCGCTGTGTCACGCAGGATCCCTGGGGAGTCGAGACATTGGACCGGTTAGGCCGCGGTGTGCTGTACTGCGCGCCAGCGGTAATGCAATGCTGGATGGACCGGATCTCTGGGGGCTGGAACGGCAGCTGGTGCGATGATGTTGGCTTGCTTTTAAGTGAGATTAAGCAATCAATCATGTATTCTGTAGACGCGTTGGAGATGGATGTTTTGAGCAAATCGTCCGGCTCTTGATATTTTTTGTGAATTCGGATCTGTAGTTTGACTGTGGAATATGGTGTGACAGCGTTTTAGTAGCCCCCTTCCAGCGAGGAAGGACTTTGAGAATGGAAGACGGAGTGTTTGATTCAATGCGGTCAAGTTGACACCAACGACAACGTTAAAACGCTTCAAAGCAGTAAAACATACAATATTTCGTGGAAACGAAAATATCCTCAGCTTGGTGCAAGGTACAATGGAGCAAAGTACGCAGGGGTAGGTAGACTTGGACCTTCCGATGACCTCATCCCCTGATGCTTGCAGATCCTCTTCTCCCTAGTTCCTTGCCAGCGCCACAAAACGCGTGCACGTCTGTGTTCGCGACTCCCTGGACACTTTCTCCAGCACACCAAGAGCTACATCACCCGCACCTGGCATTGAACAGCAATTGACTAAGACCAGAGTACACCGGCCGCAATTGCACAAACAATGCCTCAGCGCGGCACTTCATCACGCGGCGGCCGCGGAGGAAAGGCCGCTGGCGGGGCCGCTAAGCGGAAGCGGGACGCGTCCGATGCGGGGAACATGGACGACATCCAGAAGCGAAGGACCGGCAAACGCAGCAAAGATCAGGGGCTCGCATGGCAGCATCAATATTACCAGGGCAAAAGTGTTCTAGATAAGGATATGGAAGGCGTGGGTTGCGGATGGTGTCGCCTCGCCACGCCGGAGGTTCCGTTCCACTCACCATTCACTGGCAAGGGCAAGATCATGGTCAGGTCTGGCACTGAGGGGCCTGGAGGTGGAAGTATTCGACTTTGCGGCCCCAAAAACTACCTTGGTGTCCACAAGGACGGAGTATTCGATGCAGCACTCTTGATTCCGTGCCGGCATATTGGTAGGCAGTCTTCCTCTCTTAAGAAATTAGATTATCCCTGACGAAGTCACAGAGCAAATCTTCATACTCCCCAATGTGTCAAAGACCTTCAGCAAGGAGCAAGCGTAGTAAGTAATCATCGTGCCGACTGGCGCCACGGGATCGTCGTCAATCAAACGAGAGTATCCGCAGATGATATCCTTCACTTGGCCTGAGAAGCAAGCGGATGAAGAATTACGCGGCACAGTCGGTGAAGCCGCAGATGGAGAGAAGGACACCTATGGCACTGTGCTCAAGCGGGCCCTGGACGACCAGCTGAAGGCTTTCGACAAGAAAGTTGTCGACCTCTGTGAGGACCGTTCGAACCTTTTAGAGGGCGTGGAGGCGACGCTTTCGCCGCCAACAGACACACGAGTCAAATCTAATGTCGATGGTAAGCCCCAAGCGCATTTCAAATTGTAGCATGGAGCAGCCAGACTAACAAGCGAAGGTCACCTTCATTTCTTGAAACAAGGCATCCTCTTCGCTGCAAATCTATTTCATGAGGAGTTCCAGACGATCTTCCTGCCGTTCCATTCCTTGGAAAACGTCATTCTTATTCAAGCCCGCGATAGCAAGCGCAAAACGGTCGGGTTGAATCTGATTTGCGGTGCCACGGAGCCATTCTATAAAGACAAGGACGATGGCAAAGGCACCACCTTGATGTGTTTCCGAAAAATCGATCAATCTCTGATGGACCGTCTTCAGAAATATCTGAAAGACCACGACGTCAAAGTCATGCTTTGCGAGCAGTCTTTCTATGATTACGATAAGGACGTGCCGATGACTAGCTGGATGCCACTGATGAAATAGGAATTAGATGGTTTTTTGATTCATATCAATGTTTGTGTTTTTACCAATTCAATAGAACCAAAAGAGTGATGATGAAGTCAAAATGCAGGGAGAAATTTTAAGCTTCTGGTGACCTCGCTCTAAGATGCTTGCATGGCTGACCGCCTTCTCCCTTGCCCTTACCAGCGCCACAAAACGCGAACGCGTCCCCGCCCGTCGACTCGAAAACGGACACCACCGCCTCGTTCAGACTCCCAGCTTCACAAGCTGGCACCAAACGAACTAACCGCTTCCCCATATTAATAGAATCAGATCTCGTTCTGCATTATGTCGGCACATGGATTCTTTCCCCTGCCACAAGAAGTCACCGCCGCCCAGCGCAAGCTGGACCCCGCCGACGCGGGAAACCTGGACGGCATTCAGAAGCGGAGAACCAACGCAAGCAGGGCGGCAGGCCGCGCATGGACGGATCAGTACTACCAAGGCATCGACTCGACCAAATTCCATGGATTGGGGTGTGGTCTCTATGCATTCGGAGCCCCGCGAGTGCCTTTCCAATCGCCCTTCACCTGTGACGGCAGACTCGAAATCAGCTCAGGACTTGGCGGGCCTCGAAGTGGCTCAATACGTTTATGCGGGCCGAAGGACTACTGGGGTCTCAGCAAAGATCCCAGGTTTGGGCTTGACGCAATCTTTATGTTACCATTCAAGCATGTTGGTAAGTCCACCTTGCATCCTTTCTGTTTCCATGTTGTCAGTCTCACTCAGTCGGCCTTCTTACTTTCTTACAGAACAGATCATCATCATACCAAATCTATCCATTTCAGTGACCAAGATGAGGCGTACCAAATCATCATCGTTCCTACAGGCGCGGTAGGCGCGTCTTCTGTGAAGAGAGAATACCCTCAGATCATCTCATTCAGCTGGCCAGACAAGACGGCAGACGGGGACCTGCATAGTCACGAGGCTGCAGACCCTGAGAAAGATACTTATCTTTCCGTAATGGTGAAGGCTATGAACGATCATGTTAAGCTCATCAACAAAGCTGTGATTGATCTCACCTCTGAGACAGGAAGTGAGTCTGTGATTGAGCAGACCGCAGTCTTGTCACCACCGACGGATTCGAGGGTCAAAGCTAAGACCAGAGGTAACAGCACGAAACCCCATGATTTGCGGATAGTCAATGCTGATAACACCAAATCCAGTTGTACCTCATGGATCAAGGTGTCTTCTTCAACTCCCAATCGCATAGAGTTTACCTATCTTTCGATTCGGTGGAGAAAGTAATGACCATTCTTGCTCATAACACGAAAGATCAGGGCAAGATCGCTGGACTTAATTTGATTTTCAGCGCGACAGAGAGATCCTCCAACGCTGAGGAAGAAGAGACAGAAAGTCAGACTCTGATCAAGTTTATTCAAGTGGACCATACTCTTTGGGAGATATCAAGAACTATATGAAGCAGCACAGAGTCGAGTTGATGCCGTGTGAGCAGTCATTCTATGATTATGAAAATGACATGCCAGCAACTGGATTCATGCCGATGAGAAGAACTTATTTTCATTTGTACAATGGCACCCAATTCTCGGTGTTGAGACATTGTTGAACAGTATGTGTGTATGGCGACGTTGAGTCTGGGTACGGCGCCCCACTACATAACCGAGTCAGCGACTGCCCGTTATCAAAGCGGCACGTCAAGCTTGGCTTCACCGCGATCAACGTACGTTTAGTTAGGTCTAAGATTTATTCAGCGCTCTCGGTGAATGCGAATTACCGTTGTGCAGGGTGAACTCCCAGTTTAATATCAAAAGACTCCACCAGCCGCGATAGCGGATCGTACTAAAGTTGCCAGGGACTCGATGGTGGGCGGAGGTTCAAACGCCGTCGGCGATGATGATACTCTCCGAAGTCGAGCCGCAATACTTGTTGCCATTGATATTCAATATCGGAGAACAACTGAAGGCTTGGTTTGGCAAATGGATAAATAATTCGGATAGACGACGCTCACTTACATCGTTCTTTGAAATCATAATCACAATTCGATCCCAGACTCATCCTACTACACTCTTTAACTGCGCTTCGGCATTGCAATTCTACCCCGTGTATCAATATGCGTTCAACCACGTTCATCCTTGTCGTTTGCAACGTCCCGGCAATCTTCGCCGCTTGCAGAAGCGTCGTGCAGCCATGCGTAAGGCTTCCAGATAGGTCATGCGCCTTGGGGATCTTCCTCTTGACTGACAGTGTCCCAGACAAACTTCCAGACTTGTTACGCGTTGGAGATGCAATCGACCTGTGCCTCGAACGAGCACGTGGGTTCTGGAAGTTGCCAGTCCACGACGTCTGCTGCTAACAGCTACGTCACGGTAAGCCATCCCTCTTTTGCATCAACAAAGAACGTGCGGCTGACGGGGATGCCCAGTGCGATTGCTGTATCTAGAGCGAAGCGGTCTCTTCGGAGGTACTGGAGCGAAAGACCAGACCCTTTGAATTGACGGCAAGGCGGTGTCGCCTCACGGAATAAGCGTGTCAGATATCAGTCTTGTTGAAATCCCGTGTATTAAGTTGGGAGATGCCCCCGAAACAAGTCTGTTGGCTCTCAACCGCGAGCATAGATCGTACAATCTGAGTAGCCCAGCTTTTGATATTACCCCAAACCTCATTCATGGCCATTATTTTCCCGGCGTAACTTTCTCCGCAAGCTTATCAAAATCCCCTGCGCCAGGCGGCCTCGTGCCCTTTGGCTTCCCCTTCAGATGAACCAAGTAGGCCCCGACGCCGACTCCCACAGCCGCGATCGCTGCCAGGGTAGGCCTGACTGCAGTCAGTAACACATAAAAGAACCGACGTGATTCAAGTACAACTCACCAACTCTGCGACGCGCCGCTTTGGGGAGGCACAGGCTCCTGGCCGCCCGGCCCGCCGAGGTCTCCGTCATTCGACTTGGCGCTGTCCCATCTGACTTGCCTGGCTGCTGCGATGGGCATTGAGGCCCGCGGGATGCTCCTCGGGATGGCTGCGCGACGGATTGCAAGGGCTCGTGTGAACGACATTGTGCCTTTTGATATTGCTGTCTAACGTGCGAATCGGGGTGGTGTCCAGAGAAGAATGTCTTAACGGATAGATCGGTTATGCTCTGGTGGGTGGTACTGTCAACACAATTGAGTAAAACCAATCACGTCCAAAGTAATGTGAGCAGAAGTTGAAATCGCAATGCTGTCAATGGTGGTGACGACAGATTTCACAGGGGGTGCCGTGAGCCGCGTATGCGTCATAGGTACATCATCTCCAAACTGTCCCCTCCCTCGACTCCAAAGGCAAGGATTCCCCAAAATGCCACCGTACTTCAACCAGAACTCCCATTTAAAATCCGTCGCGCTAATGAAAAGAATGACATGGGACGGAAAGCTTTCAGCTGAAATGTTTCCGTGCAGCGTTCTAGAACACTGAATGTTGCCGCATCGGCCTGAGAAGCGTTGTTCAGGTGCGGCTCTTGCAGGGCCCCCTTTCTGCAACGACATACACTATGTGGATTGAAGCTTAAAGTATACAATTTGAGTGCAGACATTCATTAGGCTTGATCGAGAACACAAAAAGATGAACCATAAACAGACCCTCCAGCAAGATCCATGCAGGCCCAGCGTGGCAGTCTAAAGTCACCTCAAAACCGCACATCGGCAAACACCCTCCAACACCCAAAAATACGGGCAGCGATCTCACCTAACCCATCCCAAAAACCTGGATAAACATTTTCCACATTAACCCAACGCCAAGATGTCATGTTCCGCATTTCAAACAACCAACAATCATCCCTCGCCCGACACGCAAAATCCGAGCCCGACCGCCGTTCGTATTCCCGAGCACCAGCCACCCGTTCGGAGATGATAACACTGACACGGTTGATATCTCGGAAACGGGCCGAAGTGTGAGACAGGTAAGTCTCCGGAGTCGGATTCGCCAAGAGGTGTTGCGGGACGGTGTTGTTGGTCTGACATCGTTCAGCTCGTGGGGGCCACACACCTGCGGGCGGCTCTTGGAGAAAGTGGATGCCAAGCTTGGAGAGGGATGGCTGCGGGTGTAGATACAGCGAAAAGGCCTCTGATGTGTTTGGTGAGATAGAACAAAGGTATTGAGTTATCGAAGTGAGACTGGAGTGACTGATTTTTCCATGTGCTCGCTATTATCTCCGGCGTCGTCGTCGTTGCTATCGTCCCTGTCGTTAGTATTACTTCTATCGTCATTTCTACTGTTGTTAGATTCGCAGTCGTCTCGATCCACTCTAATTGACCGTCGTCCTCGATAAAATAAGGTGTTCCAATCTGCTGGCTGCATGTGAATCATGTCCGCGCAGACCTGGGGAAAATTAGGCGATCTCGTCGATATATCACGGATTCAAAGGAGACGCCCTGTCATACACAATGCTTACTTGGTGCGCTGAAGAAGAAAATGAAAGGTGCTTTTTTCCTGTGGTATCTAACATGCCTATGATGCATCCTAAAAGAAATCCAGGAATGCTGATGCTACCGTCAACGCCATCGCCATGCCATGAACATAAGAAACATATCTCCACAAAACACAATGCTTCTGTTTCCAACCCATGTTTCTTCTGAACTGTCTGTCGTTCTTTGTCGTCTTCCCCCGTCGTCGTCTTTTCTGTCTTCATCTTTTCTGTCGTCGTCTTTCCCGTCGTTGTTCTCCCCCCTCATCGTCCCCCTTCGTCGTCCCCCGTCATTGTCTCCCCTCATGCCATGGGGGGAAACGGTGACCACCCGTAACTCATAGCGATCTGGTCCAGTCCTACGAAAGCCACAACAACCACGTAACAAGAATGGGCACCATGGGGCTCGTTGGCATCCTAAACAATCGGGCGCGGGGTGCTCGTCTTGCCACCAGTCCAATAGTCAGTCTTCCGAACGGCTCTCACTTCAGGTGCCTTCCAATCTGGCAAAGACTCCTTCGTCTCTGTGATCGCGTCCATGACCCAGGACTTGATCTCACAGAGAGCGCGGCGACGCTGAATGCGCTCTTGCTGCTTGACTTTGGAGGCGAACTCGGAACTGCCGAAGGCGTGCACGTGAAACGTCACGAGGAGAGTGAGCGTCTTGAGAGAGGGAAACTGCCGTATAAAGTGGATGCCAACGAGGCATTGCCCTTGCACCCAACACGGACGGAGACCCCAGTCCATGGCGAGGTGCTGGATGTTGGCAAAGTTTGCTGCGTCTGGCATGGTGGCGCGGGGAGGAGCTGCTTTTGTCAGTCATAGCCCTCAAATCCAGACAATTTCAAGCTCTTACCTCTGTAGATATAGAGAGTATCCTTCTCGCAATTGACATACGCCCCCCTTCCACTTGCGCCTGTCGAGTGCACCAGCTCAAACTGTTCTTGCGTTCTACCCCGGCGGTGCTCCCTCTCATAGAGTAGCTCTGCACGAGATTCTCGGCAAACCTGCAAAACCGCGGGTATCGGCGCTTGGCGGCGAAGGGTATGCTCCATGAGGCTGTAGTTCATGGCGCGTTCGATGACGGCAGGCCGGGGCACCGCCAGGCGCCAAATGCGCAGGCGAATTTCCGGCGGCAGCTCGTTGAATTTGTGGAAGGAGCGGGCGAATGGACAACTGAGGTCTATGCTCGCCAGAGTCATAGCCTCTGGGTCGAGCTGGGAAGAGCCAGTCGTGGGTGTTGAGAGTGGCATCTTGAGGGTGGTGTGAAAGTGGCGTGTTGGTGAGATTTATGGTGTAAGCGCAGGTTGTGGTCGTATGTCGAGTCTTGTAACTTCATCAGGAAGGAACAGTCCCGATCAAAGTGAGAAGGAAGACCGAAAATGAGAAGATGAGGAAAAAAAAGTCGCGAGGGGTTTGCCGGATGGAAGTCGAGACTCTAATAAGAGAAGAGAGGGAAGGGGCGATCCAGTATCAAATCCGACTCTTATCGCGATGGGAGGAAGTCGTGCTCGGTCGTCCGGTCGGGTTCGGACTGGCTGCTGCGGTGAAGGGAGTGTCTTCCAGGGTGAGGTGGATTGGATTTTGGGCAGGGGCGGGAAGGTGCAGCAGATTCAGTCCAGGGTCGTAGGTCGGGTCCACGTCTGATACTGCTGTTGTTGCTCTCGGGTTGCTCTTTCCGTCTGATGCGGCTGCGAAGTCTAGAACGCCAGTCGACTTGGCGGTAACCGTCTGCGTTGCAGTTGGGACGTTTCGCTGCGTGTATAAGGCGATTCTAGAAAAACGGTCCGAAGACGTTTAATATGGGAGAGAGAAAACAAGTGCAGCGGCGGCAGGCAGTTTCGATGGTCTCAGAATCTGCGCAATCTAAGAAAGAAAAAAACGACAGAAGCAAGGACGCGTCTGGGCGAAGATGAACCGGAACGGAGCCCCTTTGATGGTTTTTATCAATGGGTAAGTAAACAAGACTGTCCTAAGGCTATTGCATGACTCCCATTTGATAGTACCAAGAAAAAAACCATCAAAAAATGAGGCAATGAAAATTTCTCGGGTCCGGTTCCTTGCCGCCTTCTCCTGCCATTTCTCGCCGTTGACTGGCTGCCAACACCTCACTAAACCGTCCCGTCCCCCAAGAGCATGACACAAGTCGCCAAGCGGCCAGTGCCAGTGCCCTTCGCTGGCAAGCTGGCTCGATCTTGAGCCCATCTCTGACTGAGATCCCGGGTGCCTCCCTGGAAATCTGGCCATGATTGGACGAAAAACGTACTCTACCATTTCCAAGGAAAAACAAAGCACCCATTGACTGATATCAAGTCAAACGAATAGGGGACAGGAGCGGCCCGTCAGTGGCATGTCAGTGAGCTGTTTCCCCATCAGGCCAGAAACGATTAATAGTGGGGCCCAGAACCACTGACTGCCACCACCGGGAACAACGGGCGCCAGCGAGGAAACAGCGCACGCCAGAGGCAAAACACGGACACATTCTGACGTCGGAACAGCCTCATTTCGAAGAAACGGAAAGCCACCTCTCGGGAGCGCCCTTGCCTTGGCCCCCTTGGCTTGCAACCCAAGGCAACCCCCGTGGACTAGGTACGATGAATGGGCCGTGGGGGTCTATTGAGACGAGACATTCATGCGCGACACCGCACGCAGTAGCATCCAGTATTGATGGCTGTGACTGGACCGCCTACTTCACACAGCCGCCGGTAATAAAATGCCCGATTTCTTGGTTCACTCGCCGCCAAACGCAAACACGCACGTCGTCCGATGCTCCGCTGAGCCTCGTCAATCTTTCCCGCCTGGATCGTCTCATTGCGCGCATCTCGTCACATCGTACCAGATTGTTTGATCTGGTTGCATCTCAAGGCCAAGATCAAATCCCCCAGTCCGCCATTTGCGCACCATCTCGAGTGACTGGTCTCGTCACCTTGGACCACCATCACCACGACTCACGATGCACTAGAAACGAATAGAGCCTGAACATCTCGTCGACACGCGAATAAGTCTTCAGAACCCGGCGGAGATACTTTCCATCTGTGACCACCTGCCTGTTTTATTTGCTGGAGAGGTTTCTTTCCCTGTTGGACTTGTATCCGCATTATTGCCATCACGTGCTGTCGTTGCCGCTTTCATTCGTCCTTGGTACTTTCATCGTTGTCGTCAGACCTGTCCTTATTCCTACCCTTGTCGTCCTCGATCGGGGGAATCAAGCACACCAGAATTGTGACTGTGCAAATGCAAGAACACTAGGCGGTCTGAAGCCAATGCCACTGTCGTTTTCAACAACTAGGAGACTCGGTGGATGTTCGCTCGCATAGGCCACCGTGGGAGATCTGGAGGGAGAGAGGGAAACCTCAATCTGGATGTCATCCACAAATGCACATGCTTCACTTCACCCGAAAAAGAGGAATATCTAAACATTTAATAGTAATAATGGCCATGGACTGAACAATATCTTTAACCCACCTTAATCTTTCGACACCAATCCCGGCCCCTACTAACCTGCCACTCACACAACCTCACCTCCATCAAGATCCCCAAAAACCCAGCAATGCAGATGCCCCCGCTGTCACTCACACTCGTCGCCGCCAGGCTAAACTCCCTATCCTCCGCCGG